TACATTCACTGCTAGACGAAGCACTAGGGAAACCTGTTGCATAGTGCTGTCGTGGGTATATCGTCTTTAAGGTCATCGGCTGAGTCTCTGCCGCTAATACTTTTGGAATGGCCAGACGGCTTGTCGCAACGGTGGAAGTAAATGGTTGCCCTCGCTGTAGCAAAACGCGCAGTGTTGGGAAACTTGAAACAGGTCCAACTAACAGGCTTTCTTCCACACTCTTTGGTGTTGCAAAACGTGGAGTTAACGTGAGTGGTTCAACATGCACCAATAGCATTGTCAGAATGCGTCGTTTTGTCTCTTCCGTTGCGGCCAATATTTGAACTGTTCAATGGGATGTACATTCATCTATTAGTTTCACCTTATCACCTTCATTTTCATATCGGTGAATAGATACTCGTGTAATATCTGGGTCCCTCCACTTTCTCAGTGGGGAGACGAAATTAACATTAAGGTCTGTGAAGCCTGGTACTGAGAAGGGCGGAATTGGATATCCTGGTAGTTTTCTAACTGTGTGCAAAACAGGCGATATAACCATATGGTCGCTTTCTAAGCTAAACTCTCCGACAGCTTCTATATCTTGCGAAAACCGAGCAGGTTAGGTTGGGTGGCTATGGCCCTCATTATATTATGGTCGTTTGTTGGTTGACCTTCTATAAAGAGAAACTCAGACTGTCCGGTTTAACCCAGCTTCTACTCTTACGGTTCATGAACTCTTATATTTTGCCGATACTTATTGTCCACTCTTATTCTTTCCTGGACTCCGGGAAAAAGAATATGCTAAATCGCATAGGGTTATAGAAGCTTATAGTAGGGTGGGTGATACACCATGAACCTTCTAAAGTGAATGGGCGTCTGAACTCCTGTAAACAACTGGCTACAGGTGTTTTACCGGATGATAAGCATTCTTAGCATCCACACCTCTCTTTGTATCTCCCCCAAGAGAAGATAAAATCATATGCATTGTTTTGTGCACGTTCAACCGCACACAAAAATCCAGCCAAACCCTGGTTGACTTGAGTATTTTGTGAAGAAAATTAAGGGGGGAAAGCACTACCAATCAACAAGGAGTAGTTACGATGGCCACACAGGTACTAGAATTCCAACAACCCCGCTGTTCTGAAGAACCTTGGAAAAGGATACAAAAAACCTGAGTTTACAAAGTGTTCCGTTAAAGAGCTGAGGACAAATCTCCTTTCCCCTCTCGTCGGCCAGGTTGGGTAGTGTTCATGAGTCCGTCCCACCGGTTGGCGGATGGTATGGCTGACATACTCGGCCCCACAGCAGCAAGTAAACAGGGTAATGTGACCAAATGCTCCATCCTATCCATAGCGCACTGGAGAACGGGCTACTGGCAAGAAAACATAATTCTAAGATTGGTGGCAAAGATTGATGTGCTTGTGGATCTTGATCGCTTCTTTCTAAGGCCACCATAAAAGGCTAGCCAGGAAACTTGCGAGAAACCCTGATGAAAAATGGATACCCGCTGAAGGTCCTAAAAAAGAATCTATTGCCGGAAAATATAAAAAGCTTGTGTGCTGCTCCGAAAAAGGTTTCACTGTTGAACGTAATTTAAAGAAAGATAGTGCGGAAGCGCCATGGTTTTGAAAGCCCTATGTGCTATGGCCGCTGACAATGCACGGACAGCGATTATCAGCCGATCAACAAATTCCTAGGTGATTCCCGGTCCGACTAATCAGGGAAGAAGACATGATGTATGGAAACGTGTGCAGGGGTCAAAATGCCGAAGACCAGAACAAAGGAAACACGTACTGAACACACAGATAGTCCCTCTTTCAAAACAGCAGTATTTATTGGCTGATCCATCGTCTTCTTGTCTAATTGTTGACTTGATAACATAAAATACATTTCGGTCGGTCCCTTCTCGGGCTAGTCTTTTCTCCCTGTCCCTATATCAGGAAAATATCCTTAGAAGGAGTCACTACCAATCTTAGAATTGTGTTTTCTTGCCAGTAACTCGTTCTCCAGTGCGCTATGGATAGGATGGAGCATTTGGCCATATCACCCTGTTTACTTGCTGCTTTGGGGCCGAGTATGTCAGCCATACCATCCGCCATCCGACGGACTCACGAACACTACCCAACCTGGCTGACGAGAGGAGAACGGAGACTCATGATCGCCTCTGTGACAGAACACTGAGTAAAATTCTGCTAGTCTCTAATTTACGTCGCTAACCAGAACCGTTGTTGGCATCCGCCTCACCAGCGTTGCACAGAGAGCAAACCAGGGGGACGCCACATAGTGAGATTGCTGTAGTGTGAAAATTATGGTTCGGAATAAAGAAGATACTTGTTATTGGGGTTATCGATATTATTACTAGACAAAAGAAAGCAAGAATAGAGCTTGCGAAATTCAACTGTTCCAAATGAAGATTTCCGGCAACAGGTCTGGCGTAGCCTGATCACAAACAAGGTTCTATAACTTCTGGGATAACAAGTGAAGCATATGACCAGTTTTATTTCCGAGCTGTTAGAGTGCAGGAGGTGATAAACCAACTTGTGGTTGAGGAAGTGGCTTGGCCTAAGTCGCCTTTCCCCCAGGTGTTTCCACGCCACTGTACTGCACTGCCGCACAACGTTCATGCCACACCGGGATCTAGCATGGCTTTGGTGAAATATTGTTGCTCTCATTTAGTTTTTGGCATATCACCCATCCGAGGTCCACTGAGAGTGAATGGGTAACGTTCTAACAATTGAGAAAGCTTATATTCAAAACACTGGAACGTTCTTTGCGAATGATACATTACAGGTATCTACGTGAATCAATTCTACTGCAAGATGTTCGTTTAAATAAGTCAGTTCATTGGAATACCTAGGTCCTGGCCGGAATTGGATCCAGGTAGCTGCTGAACTTGAAATATCAACTCATGTTTATTACTACCAAGGTACACTCATCTATATCTTTTACTGCTGACTTCAAGGTTGGGATCAATAGAGCAGACGCCGGCCTAACTTAATTCTCCTCGACTGGATGGATAGATTATTGTGACTCGAGAGAACGTCAGGCCCATTGATTCTGATAGCCACTGAAACGAGATCATCTATTCACATCCAAATGGCTGGTGTGAAGCTTTAGACGGGTTCACTTGTGTTTTACTGGCAAATACATTTGAGAAGCGGCTGCTGAAGGTTGAGGTACTTCTTATGGAGATCGGGATTTCAGAACCAGAATTCGTAAACCAGTTATTTGGTAGTTTGGGAATTGTGACTATTTTATAGACCACATCACAATGGAGAAAATACTATCTCTTTTTGGTTGAAGACATTTTTTGGCGATGATACTAAACGGCACACATTAAAATTATTTCCAAGGATAGATATTTTTTTCGTCTAAGGTATCATGTTCATCCGGGTTCTTGATTTTCCAGGCGTTGCACGCAACTAGTGCAATGTAAAGGAATCATTTGTGGCGTAATTCAGGCTTGAAAACAACTCTATCATTCCAGCGATTTACGCATGGAATCTCTTTGTTTGGGCCGTAGTGTGGTTTATTAATTTTAGAGAGGGTAGCAGCATCCAAAAATGACGACGCGTTCCTATAAAAGAGAAACGCTGTGGATATGCTTTGGAAGTTGATTCGCGTCAGATCCATCTTCAAGGACTATCACTGGCATAGTCCGACAAACCACAACCCGGTAACTGTCTTATTCCCACCAATCAAGATCGAAATATCTGAACACTAAAGGTGACTTGATGGAAAAGCATTCCTTTTACTATTCAAACATGGAGATAGCTATTCGTGGCGGTACGATAATATGGATAGCCAAGCGTAATTCAGGCAAATAGAGCGAAGGATTTGGCGCTTAAAGTTCCCATGTAGGTCAGAAGACAAACTATGGAAGCGAACGCGAGGTGTGAGAGAAAATACAAATATATACCTGAGAAGCTTGATGGAAAAGGAAAAAATAACGAACACTGTAAAGTGATGAGGCCCTCTCTAGAAAAACACAAAAATTGATAAAAATGTTTGTCGCATGTTACATGGCGTCCTTTCAGGCGGTATTTCTGTGGCCGATAATCCCGAAATAATCTGATGGAGTCTACGACCTCTTTAAAACTTAGGGCAGTGTGACCGGAGACATCCGAAGAAAGGTACAGCACAAAAGACACTGACTCGCCATGGTCGTTTGAATTTACCTCGCTCAAACCCTTACTTGCCCTTCACCCGAGTAGATGGTTACCGGGCATCCGACTCTTATCAGCTGCGCAATATAAACCTAGACGCGGCGCTTTCGTACCCTGTAAGACTACTTTTCATGACAAAGTTAACGACATTTCAGAGTGTGCACGGCATCAAACGCCTAGATCGTCTTCGCTTCACGCGCGAACTGCACATTTCCTGGCTAACATCCTTTTGTGTGATAGCATCCACTGTCACCGCACTCTGGTTGGCTTTATAGATATGATCAGCTTTTTCTATAATCTCTTTCTGAATATCTGAAATACATTTGATAGATGCTCAGACTTTTAGAGCTTCATTCTGTCCGAATACGTCTAATACTACCTTACTAATCTTGGTACTATGCAACATCTCATGGTTATTTTTATTAGGCAAGGTTACATTCCCAAAGGTCTTATTGCAGAGAAGAAAACTATCCGTCTACAGAGAAGAGTATATGAAGTCCAAGACAAGAGTTTTAGTCACTTACCATAGTTACCTTTCTCCAACTTACTGCGGGAATAACTTAAGTCTTGGTTCACTGTGGTCGATCCCAAAAGCGTACGATTCCAATTCAGAAAGCTAATTCTAGGTCCCAAAGTACCTGGTTGAGCTTATTTGGGAAAAACCTCAAGCCAGAATTTGATATTGGTGATTTTGATGAGACTGAAATTAACAGCATAAAGCCTGAAAATTTACATTTTAGCTGTCTGTGGAAAATATGAATACATAACTATAATTTATCTGTTAGATTGAGTATTGGATAGTGAGCTTGTTTTAATTCGCCACTAGTATAATAACCATTTGTACTTTACGGGTAATTATTTGTGTACGTGATTGATGTGAGTAGACAACTAGTTGTACATAAGTTTGCTTGTCTTTCAATCATCTACTGACTTCATCGTTGCGATATCTTTGTAGACTTAACTCTACTACAATGTCACGTTTTCCACGTTATCTGAATGAGAGTCAGGAGAAAGATCTACGCGAGATAGCCCAGGCCATCTGTGCTCCGGGTAAGGGGATCCTAGCTGCTGACGAAAGCACTGGTAGGTTAACTTGTTTTTCGTCACTCCTTTTCTTATAGCAACTGTGGGGAAAAGGTTCCAAACTATCGGGATTGAGAACAATGAGGAAAATCGTCGTTTATACCGACAGTTGCTTTTCAGTGCCGATCGTTCACTAGCTCAAAATATTTCTGGGGTGATTCTATTCGAAGAAACACTGCATCAAAAATCGGATGATGGGAAGACGCTTCCAACATTGCTTACTGAGAGGAATATAATACCTGGCATAAAAGTAGATAAGGGTGTTGTCCCTTTAGGTGGGACAAATAATGAAACTACTACCCAAGGTCTTGATGACCTTGCCTCGCGATGTGCTGAATACAGGAAATTGGGTTGCCGTTTTGCCAAATGGCGCTGTGTCTTAAAGATATCTTCACATACTCCTTCGTACCAGGCTATGCTGGAAAATGCGAATGTACTTGCACGTTACGCCTCAATCTGTCAGCAGGTACGTTGAAAACATCCGGTGGTATTCGGCTGATGTCCTTAAAGTGAATGGTATTTTCGAGTAAGGCTGGTTTGGAGCCTCACATCGTTGGGCGTCTCATTCTATTTTTATCTGCTAAGTATTAATTAGCTTTAAACGTATCTCAGTCTTATTAGTTCTAGTGGTGGATTTAGTTAGATGTTGTCCTGATTTCCCTGTGATGGTTGCTTTGAAATGTGATAGGGAAGTGGAATAATTTGTGCAGTATAGATGTAAGAATAATTACTACCATCCTCAGTTTTCAAATTTGTTCTTGGGGTTTTGCAGACAGATATAGTAAAGTGTATGGAACTGTGGATAAGTGGCTTATGTAACATTTTGTTGAAGCGTATTGTAAACTGCAGTGTTCAGATAATCGGGTTTAGAGTCCGATATGATCCCAGCAAGTACAGCAAAAGAGAAAGAAACATGTGGTAGTTTCTACCTCTGCTCAGTTGACATTTGCAAATTGATGCTGGATTACGTCTTGGATTTGCAATTCTGATACCTGTTTACAGATGGGTGCACATTTCTGTCTTATGAGGTTATATGGAGGTACGTTTCCAATTAGTATTCTGTGCTTATGCAGGAAAATTCACATGAAGATTATGTTAGTTGGATGATATGCCTGTTTATATCAGTAACTTCTAACTGTTGTTCACAAGTTTCTGGTGACAGTGTCCTGGGAACTCTGACGTGGGACAAATGACTTTAGTCGTGAGTATAGCTCACATTTGTGAAAGCTTAGTAACAGCTTGATCTTTAAGGTATTTATTGAAAAGGTGTGCACTTATATGCTTTCAAAGTTTGTGATTACACGTATAATAGACTTGCGTTAGCTGTGAATTATTGTGAATTCGGCTGTCTGTTGATAGTGTTTTGGCAATGTGAGTCCTTTAAAAACACTTATCAGCCACTCTATGATTAAGTTTTACTTGAAAGAGTTTACATCTTCATCTAGTTTGTCGGGTGCAATGAGTTAATTTTCAAAACCAAGTAGGAACAAAAAATATGAGAATCAGGCAAGCGAAAACATCTTTTCACGACTGGAATGTAGGCATAGTGACTTCGGGCGAATAGTGACAATTCAGCTAAGATGGGTTGAGATGCGCACGTGGAAAATAATTCTAGTTAATATATATCTGTCAGGTGATATCTGACCAAGGTGGGCCATTTATATTTAGAACTTTTGGATGAGATAGAATTAAGTTGTGGTTTAACATTCATCTTGTTGCACTTGGAATGATATAATGCTCAAGAGACTGCGGTTCAAGTAATATGAGTACAAGATTTACAAATGACTCAACCTTGGTTGCGGGTAAACTCCTTTCAAGGTAAAGCAGTGGAACTTGAACTAAGACTCGATATATTCCTATTTTAGAGGCCAAGAAATTTACGGGATGGTTGAGGGTTATAATATACTCTACGGACTATTGCTTAATACCACTTCGGATAAAATACTATACTTCCTATAAATGCTTCGCATTTTTTCCGTTAATTCAAGTCCTTGGACTAGTGATCTTAATGAATGATTTAATCAGAATGCACTTTGTAGGACACTATTACATTGTCCATTAGTGAGTCTTGAGGATATTCTGCGTATATTTTCTTGGATAAGCTCAAAGTTATTGGGTACTTTATCAGTTGGGTTGCATTCATCAACGTCGTGGTATCTTTAAGAAATTTATTTGCTTTTTACTTGTTTCTGTTTCATGTAAAAATTTCCTATTTCTTACCAAATGTTTTCGTATGTTTTTTCATAGAATGGCCTGGTTCCGATTGTTGAACCCGAGGTTCTTCCAGATGGTGATCATGATCTAGAAACTGCTCAGAGGGTTACAGAAGAAGTGTTGTCATTTGTATACAAAGCTTTGGCTGATCACCACGTTTACTTGGAAGGAACACTTTTAAAACCTAATATGGTTACAGCTGGACAGGCTTGCAAAAAGGCTTACACACCTCAAGAAAACGCTTTGGCAACTGTTCGTGCTTTACAGCGCACAGTACCTCCAGCCGTTCCAGGTAAAACTTGGTTTTCATTTAGGTTCACTTTAACTTCAAAAGTTTTCGGGTATATTCCTAATAAAGTGTCTGTATATTTCCCTGTAGGTGTTACATTTCTGTCTGGGGGCCAATCAGAATTAGATGCCACGAAGAATTTAAATGAAATCAACAAGATTCCTGGACCCAAACCTTGGGCACTCACCTTCAGTTTCGGCCGCGCTCTGCAAGCTTCTGTCCTTGCGGCTTGGAAAGGAAAGACTGAAAATGTAGCTGCTGCTCAGGAAGAGTTGCTTAAATTGGCTAAGGTAAATTACTGAGGGTGAAGTTTATTTCCGGTTGACGTTTAGTTACATTCTAATGATATGAAAATGCAATCACCAGGTGCTTTGTCTTGTAACACTTGAAATATTTTAGCCGTAAATTTTAGTTGGATCAGTAGGTGTGTTCGATTACTTTAAATTGATCGTTTCAAATTGTTCTGGTTTGATTAGTCCTGCTTTCTTTGGTTTTATAAAAAGAAATGAATTGTATGAAATAATTCTGCCGGTTGGTGGGATATTACACTGTGTCGGGTTTATTTCTGAAGGAATCAGCATACAAAGTGACTGTTAAATTCAGTCTTTAGAAATAAGCAGTAAAACATGCCAATTCATACAAACATACAGGCGATTCACAGATGTTCAGATTTTGTTATTTTGGTTTGCTAAGCTTTTAATATCAGCAACAAATTTATGAGCCGATTATTGCTTTATTATAAATGCTGGTTTTAACGTGAACCGTTTTTTCGCTTAGCTACATAATCTCAGTTTTGAAACTTAGATCTATGAGCTATGTACGGCATCTAAGTTAAAAGTTTTTAAAACACTTGTTATATTTTATTCATGAACATGTTAATTTTACCATAATAATTTTTGAATTTTAGGCCAACGGTGCCGCTGCTTTAGGGAAATTTGAAGGACATATGGCTACTGTGCTGGGAGACAAATCACTATTTGTAGCTAATCATGCCTATTAAATATCATAATCATCATTGCGTTATGTGATTGCAAACCCCTACTTTCTAGCATATCTAGTCTGCATCATAAATAATCCTCCATGCAATATCAAGATTGAAGTAACTTTCCAGTTACTTTTTGTTTTAATTGTTTTTTCTTTGAGTTACTTCATACTTCAACTTTCTTTGATCACAGAGATACTTACCATTGTATTTAATAGTATTAGTTGGTTTGTCAATTCATAATAACTGAAAAATACACATTCTTCCCATTATGTTTTTTCTTTGAACCACTATGAGGTGCTGTTTGAATATAGCTAAATGAGTTAAAGATTATAAACAAGAAGCTTATTTCCTTCATATTTTAGGCCACCTATCATTCGGAAACTATTTTTATTTGTAGTTAAAGATTTCCTAAAACTGATAACCCTTGCAAGGCAGGTATATCCATCACGGATTATTTTTATAACAGCAGGGTAGGTGAAGATAATGGCTTCTGTAAGTTTATTGATATCATTGCTTTTAGAAAAGTATCCATTAGTAAGCATTCTAATGCTAGCTAAACATCTTATCATCAAAACTGCATATATTCCAGTTTATTTAGGAGTCAGTTTTGTGTCTACTCTATGCGGTAGGTTGAAAAAGATGAATTATTTTGTAAGAATATTCATTAATGGATGATGACATTTAATTATTGGGATGTCAGCGACCAACAAAACGAAAGTAATACATCTTTAATAACGGTCAACAGTCTAGTTACTATTTCCGAGATATCCCATATTACAAACTTCCTAAGTACCCATTAAATACCGGCTGAATACGTTAAATCCATAGTTTCTCGTCGACTTCTACTCAGCTGCATATAAGCTATTGAAATCGCAGAAAATTAGCATAGATACAATCTATATTCCTCAATTATTGTTAAGAAGACAGTCCATTGACTGAAAATGATGAAAGAAATAGGGCAGACCACGGAAGTCTGGATAAAACAAACTGTTGATTTAAATCAGAGTTATCTAATATTGATATAGACTGTCATTCTGCTACATTTGAAAGTTAAATAAATGTACTATTTCTTTCATCATTTTAGTCAGTGAACTATCTTCCTCACAGTCATTGAGAAATATAGATTGCATTTTCTCCTATGTTTCCTGTGATCTTGATTGACTGTATGCAGTTGCGTAGAACGCAATAAAATACTATAAACTCACCAAAATCTACAGAATTTATTGTTTCTGCCTCACTAGAAGTTTTGAAGGGAACCAAGTATATGAAACCAACTAAGTATTCTCCCTGCTGATTGATTTGGTTTCATTATTTAAGTTCATCTAACTTTCAAACTTAATGGCGCAAAACTTATTTATATTTGCTTGAAGAACTTGATCGTTGATCAAAAAATAGTTGCAATCGTAACTGCTGTCTTATAAAATTTAGGAAGAATACGTGTGGAAACCGAGTGCATTCGTTATATTTTTGTCGCTTCGCACAGTTATACTACATGCAGTATTCAAGGAAGGATAATTAGGCTGAAAAACATATGTGTACATAATCGTATAATGTTCTACTGTATAGTATTTAAGAATTGATAAATATACTATAGAATTTCGAGCTATTTATTTGAAGAAGACTCATTTCTAAGATTTTCTTGTATTTAAGCGATAAGCGTAACATCAAATTTATAGAAGAATCGCTCCAACTTGTTACATTTCTCAAAAGCAAAGAAAGCGAAATCCAGAGAAATATATCGATACAGACAGGAATAATATGAGTGGGGCGTCGGTGAGTGAAAAAGTGACTAAATATTAGCAAGGTGGTTGGAGTTCTTGGGAAGATAAAGTATAAGCACATGTTTTCTATTGTAACAGGTTTTGTACCATGGTGATTAGGGATCACTAACCATTAGAAGGTAGAATGTTCTCTCGAGGACAGACCAGATTGAATGTTAATGGCCTAATAAACTGACTGAATGTCGTAGTTCACCCCCTCATATTTCGAATTTATTCATGCTTTGTACAATACCGAACACTAATGTGGGTAATAAGTAAAAGGTTTCAACCACCTTGATCACCAAAAGTTTACAAGCTCGCTACCTGACCGAATTTTCCTCTCCCAGAACTGTGAGTGTTACCTCAACACAAAATGTGGTTGTCCTACCATAGATAGGTAGTGTTCAACAGACAGGTGATCTAGACCTTTTTCGCTATGATAATGTCCAATAACTGTATTGTAGCCATGAGGTGGGTTAGAGTGGGCCATTATACTGTCCTAAATTTGCTACTTTGCGGGTAACCAGATATCTTACAGACTACACAAACGGTGTGGCCTAAGGAGAGTAATTAAAGCACATTTCTTTTGTCTCTCTTAGAATCCTATCGACAACTAATTTGTTAGTATCTTCATACTGAATTTTAATCAAATAATAGTGATTGTATAAACGTTTATGTCATATACATTGGTTGGTCAATGAAAAGTAGTCAATCTCATGTCGTCTAGCCCTAAGTGATAACTGAATTCTATCGACCGCCTTTGCAGTGTGGTCAGCAAGCTAGGAGACTCACAATTGCAGAGCACATTGAAAGATCTTGGGTGGTTGGAGGCAGTCGGCAGAAACTCTTGAACCTATGTTCTGTGCCTGTTGTCACTCGTCAGTTGGGCGTATTTGAGACTTTGAAGGAACTGATGTCCCTCTCAGATTCAAACTCGCATCACTCAGCGCTGCAGTTATTCAGCTATTTGGTAGCATGTTGTACATTGGATTTTCATGCATAAGGATTTGTATCAATGGGATAGCATACAGTGTCATAATCTTGAAAACTGTTTGAAGACATGAGAACTCACAAACTGAGGAGTTTAGTAGTAATGACTAGAGAGTACGGAAATTAGATTCGAATTTTGACACGACGAATTCAGTGAATAAAGTGAAAGGTGATATTTCAAAGTATAGACTAAGGAGTTATTTATCTGTACCATAGTTACTGAGATCATTTTCTGATTTCTCACATAATTTCCTACTACATTTACAGTTTGCAAGTAGAGTTGTTGGGTTTGATCACCATAAAATGCGTTTAACTAGGTCAGTAGACACCAGTTTTCCGTCGAAAAACATTTATGACTATCTTTATTGGGAACTATATTAGCCTTTCATCTAATTGTTTTGCCAAATTACCAGCGAACCGCATTCCATTTACGTCTGCATTCCTATTCCTGTATAGCTAGATTGACATATAATGATCACCGTTCTTTTCAATGCGCATTACGTGAAATAAATATCTTCAACATACCGTAGCTTTACATGTGATGCTTCAATGTAGGTATTAAGAATAAGCACATTGAAATAAGTTTACCTGTCTTCGCTCTACAAAACCTTATGACTGGATTTCTGTTGGGACATTTCCATCCGTTTACCCTGAAGTGTTATTCCTCATAACTGATTCCTATTCAAAACCTTGAACATCAGGTTATTATGTGGACAGCGCTAATATGGCAATAAAGACCTGGTTGATTGTTCATACTGTAGACTGGTCTTAATCTAATCAAATCATGGTGTTTTGAATATTCACAGAACTTTGATAACCGTCAATAACTTAATTTCATTGCATCTCATGTTTCCCACAAGTTAATTGCCACTAATATGTAACTGGTTGCAGATAAAATGCTGTAATCTATGGTTTATGATAAATAGAATTGCTACGCTTTCGTGAAAAAGGATTTTCTATCAAATTGTCTATCCATCTATCTATCAGCGATCAAAATCATTCCGCTAGCCAACACAACCTACATAGTCTTTTTCAAGGTCCACATACTATTTCATATAAAACTAGTAAAATAATGAACTTTGGTAAACTTTAAGTAAGTGTATGAATTATCAGTCTGATCATTAATTCATTTTCTACATATCTGGTTAGTAAGGGTTAAGATGACATTAATAAAGGGATGAAAGTTAGGATTGAAACTAAATTTATGCTATTCATATACGCAGCACAGAATAATGGTCTGTAGAAGTTGGGTACACAAAATACTGGTTTCTTTTCAATCGAATAGGAATGAAGTATCCTGTATAAATGAAAAAGAGTTGATCAAAAACAGTGCAACGTGTTTTTTTTTTAAATAAACAAAGACAATGCTTTTATGCGTGAGATTTTGTGGTGTTCAATTTAGTTTTGTGTAACTGTTTAGAGTTAAGGCAAATTTTTTTTAAACTTCTGTTAGTTTATTCAATTCCTTGTTGACTATTTATTACACTCATGCTTATTCAAGATACTTTTGAATGTATTTTCTATGTGATAAATAAGTAGTTAGAATACTTTGGTACAGAAACGTATTGCATATCAGATTCTGAAGTTGATGAGCTACGTATAGGTATTCCACTGAATTTAACGTGGATCTACAGGATCATTGATTAATACTTCTGTTTTAATTCACTTACGGTGAGACTGTTTTCAATGTAGAATAGATTCATATGAATTAAATGTGTCTTATTTGTCTGAAGACGTTTGTCTTAGTTTAGCTTAGGATTGGAGAAGTATTTTTCTTTAAGATAGATCCATTTTCTCTGTATTTTTCGTGATTGTATTACTTAAGTTCTAATTCACACCTCGCTATACAAGCATTTGGCATAGATCCAGTCATTATATCAAACAAATATACCTGTTTTATCTAAACAGTGAATTCTTAAATCAGTCTGATAGTGAAAATTTCTTTGTATATAGTGACTAGTGTAGATTTTATATGCTAAACAACCCATACATTTGCACAGTAGACACTAAATCAATCAACTTAAGGTTGGTGGAAGTTTACAGTCGGCTGATTCTCACATGGTTCTTTACAAAACTTTAGCGTCTTTATTCACTAACTTAACCATCGTTTGAAAACAGTGAAGAAATTAGGCATAAAAGAAATTTGAAGTTAGGTATATGGTGTAGATTCTTCCCCATGTGATACACAACTGCAGTAAAAATGTTCTATCAATAGGTGGTTGATTCATCAAAGCTTAATCAATGAGAATTATTATAATATTTCAGTGAAAATTGTTTATTAGAAAAAAGTGATATGTGTAAACTTTCTTTAAACTTTTGTGTATCTGATTTAGCACAAAACAGTTTCAAATATTCAAGTGATGTGTAGATGATGTGTTGGTTATCTTTGTTGTCGAAAGTTGTCATTTCGGATTTTATTCCATAATGGATTTCCTTAGTCTTGTTTATTTTTTTTATAGGATAGGCTAATTGTATTCTCATTTCTTTGCGCTGTTTTGGTATTTTATGTTCGCAACGAATTCGTTGAGGAAGAGGCTACTGAACCACCATTTGCTCGAAAAATAGGCAGGCAAATTATGGACTTTGTTAACGGTGGTAAGGAGTCTTCAGCATCTATGGATGCAATACACACACATCTTAAGCCACCTTAATTGTTTAAAGTGGCCATTAAAAGTAGAAGATTTAGAAAAATGTAAACATTTATGTTTGTTTGGATACGTATTCGATATTTTAAAGGATGAAAATTTTGATTGTATGCATGGAGTCTATGTAAATCTCACTGGTAAGTTTTAAACTTTTAGTTACTTTATAATGAAATAAGTTTTGGTTGATTCCATTTGTATGGACAAGTTTACCTGTCTAATAGTTTATATATACTGATATGAAAATCCACTGATAAATTCATGATAAGAGGAATACTTGAAAGTCTTTGAAAACTGATGAATTTTTTATTTGAAAGTTTTTAAAATAATACTTAACAAGGTGCAAATAAAATCTATAACTTTACATGAAATGTATTTGGGGATTGGTTGGGCTTTTTTCTAGATTGTTTTTAATGCTTTGATGCGATAGAATGCAATGCAATCTAAAGTGTATTGTGTTTAATGGCATTTAACTATCGTCATATAGATTACTTTTATGTCGTTGAACTATTCTTGAAAACAGTGGAGAGACGAGATTTACCAGATTCCTTTGCATCAACATAAAAAGGTCAGGAATTTCAACCACTGGGGTGTAGTGCCTTAACTCCACCTACATTATTTCAGTCTGGAGGTTCGTAGGGTTAGATTGATTTTAGGTTGGTATTTATGACAGACTGAAATCAGTCGGAAAGCCAGTGAAAACTTGGCGCCACTGGACAGTTGTTTCATCGTAGTATTGGGTTCCTCAGCTGTGTGCACCCACGAACCTGTCGGAGTTTGAATCCAGGACCTTCAGGTTTCGCGCTATGCATGTTGCCGTTGTTGTCAGACTGTGATGAATACATCCTGAAATGAATAAGATTGCCACAGACTTCCAAAGTGAATTACTGTCTGTTGCTCAATTGTAACATGCTTCGAGAGGGATTACATGAAGTTCTTGTGAGAATTGGTAATCATTGGCGCGAAACGAGTCAGACGTCAAGACAAATACCCAGGAATGATGTTGGATGATGTTTGCACTATATCATGAATAGAAAGTGGTAAGAAATTGGATTTGGACTTATTGACTCAGTGGTAACGTACTCTCTTCTAGATCTGATAGTCCTGGGTTGCTGAGTTACATGATAGGGCGAAATAACCGTCTAGTGCTCTTAGGTTTCCAGTGGTTCTCAAAATGATATCGTTCTGTGATGAATACTATCCTGAAATCCAGATACTTTAATGAAATACATTTTTGGAAAATAATACGACAATGAACAGGCAGAGAATCCACGTAACATTTTATCCCAGTCGTACTGAAGAGGTAATCAGAGGACGCACTGACCCATCATGTACTCCGATGTATGACTAAAACTTGACTTCTATTTATCAAGATGCAACATGGTAAAGGGCAAAACTGAAAAAAGAGGCAGCGGAGGGGTTTAGAATTCAGTAGGTTTTTATATAAGCACAGTGCAATGGTGTGCGTCGTCAACTAAGGTAATGAGGTATTAAGAAATATATTTGATGATTACGAGTAAAAGCGTTTAAAAGTTAGCCTTAATGGCTCAAACAAAATTATTGCTCAAGGTTTTAACGTCTGCATTCAGTCGTTTTCTTCTTGATTTACGTTGTGACACTCTCGACTCTAATGTTAGGTGTTTAGAGGTAACTAATAGGAATCTTTAGACCCAGATTTCGTGCTCGTTGACACTGGTCAGCAAGGGTGCTTACAATCTTGAAGAAACTGATATCCTCTCAGATGACCGATAAAATTAAGACTAGACAACGTGAATATGGTTACTCTGTATTAAACAATGGATGCATCGAATCGAGTCAAACAAAAGGTCAGTGGTGATCGGAATAGCTCAATAGCAATGTGTGATTACATTATTGGTTGACGCAGGTTTTATACTTAGATGGGGCATCAGTTCTCCTGAGGTAGTAGATACGTCTTATTGACGAGTGCCGAAAAGCCGATTTCCTCCAGCCATTTGACATCAATCAAAGTACACTGCAATAGTGAGTTTCCTAACCTGGTGACTTTATTGGAGAGAAGACCAATACAATTCGGTCATCACTTGGGGCTACATGACATGAAACCGATTACTCTTCAGTAACCAATGAATGCATTTTGTACTCTTTTCTAATTTTTCTCTCCGGTACCCAAAGCGTTGGCAACTGTAACTGGTTTACTGTTATGTAGAGTTCTACAGTGCATTGTGTATTTTAGTCACTCTGTTTATGTGTCCTATGTATTACTTTATCATCATGAATGGTCAACCTAGTGGGTTATCACGTGTAGACGATAGAGGAAGGTTTTATCGCAGTGAACCAGAAGAATTTCTTAACATCTAGGGACTGACCTTCAAAAGAACTTCAGTATTACCTTCACTGGACAGCTACAGTATTATATTATCTCTATCAGTTGTGCTTCTGAAATTCATCATAGGGAGTTCATCTTGAGTCAATCCATGATAAAACAAACTTGTGGTTGTTTCTGAGATGTTTTTGCTTATTCGAGAAATGCAGAATTCTGTTTTAATGTTAGGCTATTCGGGATTAGTACGCTTGTAGCAGTTTTTACCATTATTTCCTTGAGCATACTCTTGTGTAATTTTTTATGAACACAAATCTATGTTCCTGTCCAAATATCCTCATTTGACTATGCATTCATGGCTTAAAGTGGTAAATATTTTCACCGCTGTTCATGGAAGAATTGTTTTACCAAAAAATTAAAATGAGGGGATAACCTATTTGGTACTAAACTCACTGAGTAGTGGACAGAAAACGATCATCCAATGGATTCGAAAAATTTTGATCCTAATCTATTGGTATACATAAACTTCAGGAATTAGAGTAAATGGATAGATTATGGATTTCCATTGGTCACCAAAAATCATGAAAACGCGATTTCAGATACTGTATCACCGATTTGTGGACTAGAAATCAAGTCAAATGTTTGAGGGCTGTTCAACTAAAACATGCACTGTTATCAGTCTAAACACTATAGCAGTATTAAATCATGAAACAATATTCCGAAATGAAAAATTCAAAACATTTATCTACCTTCTTTGAAGCAAACCAGTTTTGTAGTACGACAAACACTATTCAAGTATTTGTTTGGTTGTTATATATATATTAAGGTTCTACTTGTGATTTGTTTCTCAATTCTCACTTTATCTAGATATCTTGTTAAGTGAATAAATAACTGTAAAACTATTCAGGTTATGACTGAATAAACTGAAACGGTTCAACGAGTGTTGTTTTTTTGCACTTATTCAATAATCCATTTGGTTTCTCATAGGTAATAAACTAATTCAATCTCCTTATGATGACTATTAATTTGCTTAATCTGTGTTTTGAGTCAACTAGAATTTTAGCATGCCAAAATCCAGTCATGGGGGAAAATTAGGTAGCATACATCATTATGAAATTCAGTGTAATAGGTCTCAGTTATGTTTTAAAATAAGCTTCAGTGCATCGTCAAAAGATCGTGAAGTTAAAGGTGTTCTTCATCGATGACTGTAAAAATAATTACTTCTGAATTAGACGAGGATAAAGGCTATTGATTGATACATTTTTTATAAACTGATTTATTGACAGATATCTGACTGGTTTCACTTTTATGTAGGGTACAAACTAATATAACACTTCTTTTTATATATGCATATGATGGAGTAGGGTAGAGCTGTAGCTCACTGGGGTAGGTGGTTTATTCTCAGCTGGTGGGCTGCAGATTTGAGCACCACCCTCACTTACTTAGGTTTGGTCAATCAGGTAGTGTTCACACAATTGTTGTGGCTTACTGCAAGAACGTGCACAAAGCCAGTGAGTGCATTTCGATTGATAGAAATAGTCAAAGAGTCTCATTTCTGTGTTTATTGCCAATTAGGTAAAGTCAGATAATCATTACGAATCAAAGGTTGACACTTTTTTTGTAGCCGATATCATTTGTACCTACCGAATTCTTTGTTTTGTTCAGTGTTTATTTTCAACAACAAAAGTACAGCCTTTGAAGTGATTACAAGCAATACATTTTACTGGAAATATCTTCCAGTAAATAATACTGTCACTGTGTTCTGTGCCAAGTAATCCATTTAATGTGAAATGATACGATACCATAGTGCTCAAGTTTTACTGTAAAGTTAAAAATATGGAACTTCATCTCTTTTGCACGTATAGAAAATTGTGATAAATTTTATGTAATATTTTGTGTAATTCTGTTGAGAATATGAGCTGTCGATTAGTCAAACTGTATGCGATGAGTTTTAAAGTTTAATGAAGTCGGTACAAAAGGACTTCTAAACTTCTGATTATTGTATTTGATTCACGTTTCATTGTGTGATATAATCCAATTCTACTGTCTATTTTTAATCTGAGAAATATTTTTTCTTTTACTTTCTACGGCATTATGATATATACAAATTTATTAGTGAATCTAAACGTTATAGTTTAGATGGCTTGACAACTGCTCAAATCTCTGAATTATCACAATGGTTTCAACAAGTTTTGAATAACTACTCATGCATTAGTGAATATATACATATATATGTGTACATTAAATATTTTTCACCTGTCGAAGGGAAATCCTGGATTAATCTTAATCACCTAATGTAAAGTACATCAAAGAATCAGATTCTCTGAAGAAGCGACTTCTATGAGGTTGTGAAATGTCAGGAATTTAGTTTTCTACCTCATTAGAATTTTACAAACATATTTTATTGATAGTCCATTTACTGAATGCTTAACTTATTCAACTCTTTTGCACTGTGATGGTTAGCCACTTTCCTCGGTGATCACTGCAAATTTATTTATAGAGTTTGATTAGTAATCCAAGAATACACATTACTTACTCTATGGCGGTCAATGAATACATGTGTGTTTCATTTCAGTGACACTGATGAGGTAAAGTTTATACAATAGCCATCTTTCTGTTACAGCGATGGAAATAAATTGTACACAAATATGAAAAGATTCTGTTACACTTCACGTATGTCACCATTTCTTGTAGCCTATTTCTAACAGCTTTATGCGATGAATAATTCAAAAAAAGAGGAACGAAACAAATTAACAGGCCAAGTTCTAGTTAACTTTAGACTAATAACAGTCAAAATCAGCAAATATAAGCATATATATTTCGTTCAGTTTTCATTATTTATTGAGAACAGTTAGGGAAACAAGTGCAAAAAGTATGGATCATTTGAGTTCAGCTCAATCTCTGGATGATATCATGTTCATCACGAGACATGATAGTCCTGGTTTGGATTTTACATGCAGTTATGGATTATCATTAGTAGAAAGTTCAAGAATAGTGCTCCTTGGTGTGCAATGAAATTTGTCTTGAAATCAATCAGTTTCATAAACTACTTATATATATCATTCTGAATGACAAATTCTCCTTTCTACATCAGTTCTACCACTAATTTGTCATATGAAAAATACAGATAAAAAGCTGACATTTGAAATGGTGAAGAAGATTCTTATTCTAACAGAAGGACTTTGGTTTTGTTGCATACTTTGGAACTAATTACTCGATTATGCAGCTTTATTCTTCCGCACAAACATGATGAGCAAGTTTATAGCGATTACTTCATATCTAGTAACAATACCTTCTTCAAAAAACATATCTGACTCAGAAAATACAGCGTCATTTCACAGAATGAAGATACTGGCCTTAAATCTATCACAAATCAATCAAATATTAATACTAATCACATTTGAATCATTGACTTTAAGTCAGCTTTTTTCTTTCAGTAGATACATAAAGTCATATTTCTCAATCACTTTTGAAACAAAATGATGTACAACCGTTTTAGGGATTGTAGTATGTACAAATGTGACAAAATTCTAGATTTGGAATGCAGGTAAATAATACTGAAGTATTGTACTTTTGAGATGAATGAGGATTTTTAATTTAGAAGTAGTATTCATCATGGACTGACATCAGTTGGGGAACCATTGGAAATCTGGAAGCACTGGACAGCTGTTTCGTCCTAGTATGGGACTCCTCAGCAGTACGCACCCACGATTCGGCTAGGGGTAGAACTCAGGACCTTCAGGTCCCACGGCGAACGCGTTAACCATTTAGCCACTGGGTCGGTTTCCAGTGGTTCACAATTTCCAACTTCTGTCAATTCACGACATAGCGTGACTGTCACCCAAGGTCTTCAGTTAGCATCCACTTCACTTCCGACTGGTTGACCCCACATGTCACGGCTTCTCATTAGAACTTCCTAACATCCATCTGGAAGCAAGTCACTAATGAGCACTATAGAGTAATGTATTTTTGAGGTGAATGGGGATTTTTTAATTTAGACGTAGTATTCATCATGGACCTGTGGGGCCAGCCAGTCGGAAGTGAAGTGGATGCTAACTGAAGACCTTGGGTGACAGTCACGCTATGTCGTGAATTGACAGAAGTTGGAAATTGTGAACCACTGGAAACCGACCCAGTGGCTAAATGGTTAACGCGTTCACCGTGGAACCTGAAGGTCCTGAGTTCTACCCCTAGCCGAATCGTGGGTGCGTACTGCTGAGGAGTCCCATACTAGGACGAAACAGCTGTCCAGTGCTTCCAGATTTCCAATGGTTCCCCAACTGATGTCAGTCCATGATGAATACTACTTCTAAATACTGAAGTATGTCTGAACTTATATTATTATTATCTGTCCCTTGGGTTCTTAGTGGAACATAGAACTTCAGTAGCACGTCTCCATTCCACTGTTCTCTGCAATCGCTTGAACCTGGCTCCACGACAGCCCAGAAGCTCTCATTTTTTCATTACCTGATCTCCTCCATGTCACCCTTGGACGCCCGACTCGTCGCCTCCCATCTGCGTTCCACTCGAGGGCCTGGCCAGTCGTGTGATGTCCCCGAATGGTCTTCTCAGTACATGCCCAATCCATCTACACCTCCTTCTGCATATTTGTTGAGCGATAGGTTCTTGGTTGGTTCGTTGCCAGCCGGTGTTCCTTGTTGCTTATTTTTATTATTCTGGCTATCTGATCTTCAGTAACGAGACAGCGTAGGCGGCAGTTGTTGGTGAATGTCTGTAGTTTGTTGGAAATCCCTTTCGTAACATGCCAAGTCTTTGAACCATACAGAAGCACTGACTTGACGTTGGTTTTAAAAGTCCGGATCTTGTTCCATATGCTGAGTGTTTGAACTTACTGCACACAAAATCTATGCAATTAGTGAACTATTTTTACCTTTGCGTTCATATGGTTGATTTATGAATGCATTGACCACTTCACTTACTCGAGAAGTTGCATCAAGCGAAATGAGTTGGTTTCTTGCTAAACCTCAGGGTGTATACTAATGGCCTCTTTGGCCCTTGCCAAATTATGCTATTTCTAGCGTGGGCAAGATATCCGAATACCTACTGAAGGACAAGCATATTGTTGTGCGCTCCACTGCCTACTGTTTTACGGCAGTGAGGTATGACCCCTGGCAAAAGATACCAAGAGATTACAGGTTTTTAACCAGTTTCCTTTGTAACATTGCTCACACATGGGGGGAACATCTTAGAAGTAGGGTACTAGGCAAGGCATGTTAGTAAGTCAATAAGGCTATGAGCTTTCTGCAGTAGGATTAAGTTGAAAGAAGTCTCGGAGTGGCCATAACCAGATATGGCACTGGTTCATGGAGTATCTGATTGTTGGTGATTAGAGACGTTGAAGGTGCCTTGAAGTAAGAGAGATCAACGAGTGCAGACTATTGGTGATACGGTTCGAAATTGATCACATTGGTCTAGGTGTATTCACCTTTTGATATCTTTGAAAGTTTTTACTAACCTTCATTTTTAAAAATTCTTCTTTTACTATACACTTTCATCTACTTTATTATCACTTTTTCTCTATTCTTTTGATTTCTTATGCTGCTGTGACATATGGTAACTTTAACTGATGCCTTTCTGCGCGACGTTCTGTGTTGATATGTCTGCCTGTATGGTTGATTCATTTAGAGGAAGCGCATAACTGTACAGAATTGAAGGTGTACAAAGCTTAGGATTCATCATAGATGAGAAATCAGTTCATCCTGTTAGACATTTTAACAATAACAAAGGATGTACTAACCTAGTTTTAAGTGCTGTTGCTTGCATATATTTAAGTGTACAGTTGGATATAATAAGGCTTCGACATTGATGAAATATCTTCAGATGAATAATGTCTAGATCAGTTGAAGTGATTTTCATTCTACGACATTTTTAAATCCTATTTTAGTTAGTTTATAAGAAGTTTCATACAGTGGAACCATATTATTTACTCGAGTTATCTTGAGGTGGCTATAAATTATAAATTTTGTTCGAAGCGTTATCCAGTAAATAATATTGTTTTGCTGTTTGAATAACGGAATGACCAATCTGTTGGGTTTTTCTTCTAGGTTACGTACCAGGAATTTATTTAGACCCGATGGGGGAACCAACAAACTACCTAGAAAAATTAATGCAATGCTGGGATTTAATTGATCAAGAAAATAAAAGACTTTTCATGATGTTTTCCAAATGTGATTTACGAACTGATGGAGATCAGGCATATGGCTTCTGTAAGCCGAAAATGTAAGTCACTATTTTTAACATCACAGAAATTTTTGATCACTTGGTAGCGTCAATTGTGGAGGTTTCAGTTTTGACATGATGGCGAATCTTTGAAGTTCCACTTGTAGATTATCTGATAGTTTGAGTGTTCTTCAAGATTTCACCGACACAGTGTCAGTCGTCAGTCTGGGTACTATTTCCAGGACAACCTAAGTTTTTATGAAGATATGACCCCAATTTGCATTCATAGATGTGCCTATACTAATTCAGGCTTGAAGATCCCCAAGACCATTTACACTAATCTGCTGATTTTCCTCGCTATAATGTACAGACTTAAACACTGGATGTTCATTTAGCTTTTTTTAGGACTTAGTTTATCAGCCATAAACTTAAACAAACTCATCTCTATGAGGAAACTAATAGTTTAGACCAGTTAATTCAGACCAGCTGATTTGGATTACCGATATAACATGAAATAAATAGCCAATATGAAAATAATTTACAAATCTCGCAGTTCACGTTAACATTTCTTGTGTCAACAGATTTTCTGGTAGAAACCATTGAGGTTGATACCAAGCTAGTCAGACGACTATCCAGCGTTTAGATCACTCAGATTTAGCTAAAGAGATTCAAAGGGCAGCATGTGCTGTTTCGAATTACTCATGATGCTCAGCAGTATATTTGGCTAGTCCATGACACTTCTGTGTAGGAGATCGTTAACTTGGCTAGGTGGTTTCCCAAAGAATTTCTGTTAACACTACAGTTGGGCAACTGAAAAACTACTCAATTGTCAAAGTTAACCGAGTAATTTTAAAAATAATTTCCTAATTGACCAGTTACTCTCTCTCTCTCTCTGTATATATATATATATATATATATATATATATATATATATATATATATATATACTTTTTAAAGACACATGATATGACCATCTTCTGATGGTTGCATTTTTTGGCATTTTTCTTTTATGTGCGTATATGTGTATGTATTCACTCAGTCAAGTGCTTTCATTACATATGGTTTTCACGTGTTTTACGATTCCTTCTTTCTAAACGTACCTTTCTTGTTGGTAAGTATGCATTCGAATTATACCAATGTGTATATTTGTACGAAATATCCTAACTGCTCTTGTATTAAAATCACAGATCATTACTCTACTGTTTTATTTCAACTACTTCACCTTAAATTTAGTCAAGTTTAAGCTCATAAGTCCGCATAATTTTAATCGATTATTTGTAATCTGTTCTTCAAGTCCAACCAAAGATTTCACATTTGTTTTCTACTCTATTTCAGATCAGATAATCAATTTTCGTATATGATATTAAAATAGTTGAATCATCCAAATTTTATGAAACCAATATGTGTATGTACAGGCCATAAAGAAGGTGAAATGTTTGAAAAAAACTTTTCAATTTCGAAGATTATCATAATTGTCACTCTAATGAATGTTTACTCAATCCAGTTCAACATATCACATGAAGCAAATAAGAATTTCCGGTTAAACAGATTGATGCTATGCGTATAAAGAAGTAAAGTTTTTTTGAAATAAAAGTTTATTTTTTTGTTTTAATGAATGCTCTTCTTATTTTAGACGTTTGGATCTAAATATGCATTCATATCATTATTAAACAAGATGAATAGTAGTCCCTGATAAATGACTCACAATCTGATTCAGTTCATAAACGATATTCTTGAAGTTATTCACAGGTCTGCTTAGTGTCCTTTGAAAAGAGATGTTTTTGATTGTCGGTTCGTTTCAATCGATGACTTACTGATATAGGCGTAATCAACATCTTTCAAAATCGGTTCCGTGAATTTCAAGTTGTATACTGAAAACGTTTACACCAATCTATATTTTCTATCACATGTCCACTCTTAAAGTAGCTAGCTACCTTGTGCTCACAGATTTCTAACAGCTTGATTAATATCAGGTGTTTGGGGTTTAAAAAATCCCATGAAGGCAAAAACTGAATACCAAAATCAGCCATAAGTCATGTGGTTTACCTGTTTTGTATATATATATATATATATATATATATATATATATATATATATATTCAGTAATCAGTATAGGTAATACATTGAATTGATCTAACAATCCAATGCATGTGTTATTTTTAAAATGAACTAAGAATCTTTCAAACACTTCTTTTCTTCATAATAATGATGGATAATGGCTAGAAGTGGGGTCTGGGACGCGCGTTTCGTCCTGTTTGGGACTCGTTAGCCGAATGTACTTGCACTAGAGTGAGTGATGTTATTCCCAACGTGGCTCGAAATCGGGACTGGTGGCTTCAAACGCCAGTGGACCACTGAGCCACGATAGCTAACAGAGACCGATCAATTCAATCCAATCAATGACAGGGTAATACAGGTAAAAACACTATGACTATACCCGTCGCACAAGAAGTGGCTATCGTGGCTCAGTGGTCTAGTGGATAACACCTTGGCGTTCGAAGCAATCGGCCTGAAGTTCGAGTCCCAGTGGGAAGAACATCACTCACCGGGAAGTAGATACATCCATCTGACACAGGTGATATCGAGGCATCCACACAGAAGCCCATATGCCAATAGAGGCCGATCAATTCAGTCCAACCAACGACAGGATAATACGAGCAACTACACTTCTTTTCTCCCTTCATATTTATGAACATTGTAACCTAACCAGTTGACACCAAAATTGCTCCAGATAGATAGCAAAATGCTGAGGCACTGTTATTAATTTGTATTGTAAAAATACTCAAGTGATTTATTTATTCATTTGAATTTTATGGTACATGATCCATAGAAGGGATGAGTTCTAACATAACTAGATTGTGTGATAGTATTCATCAAAAGTTCCAGTACCGACTAATTGAATGACTTTTGTTTTCTCACCAAGAATTCCTTCAAACTTCCACATAGTTTCCACACGACCAGATTTCCTGACATGGAGAGGAAGAAAAAAGTTAATGATTTTAGTCACATAAGTGCTATCCTTGTAGCTCTGTGAATGCTCTATTGTTTTCGATTTAACATGAAGTTGGACTTCATCAAAGGTGACAATAGATGAAAAACGATTGATAACGAAGATGTTTTTAGCAACTGATTCATCATATTTGAGGCATTTTTAAAAACGATAATCCCCCCTAATTCTTGTTGAAATCATACTGAACATCATCCAGTTTCGCTTCGAGCATCTGACTATTGAAGCAACGGACTATAGCCTAATAGCTGGAATATTTCCGTCTTATTTTATTATGGTAACTTGAACCCTTAGAAAAGTTAAAATATTTTGAGGTAATCGACTTCTAGTACTTTGTGCTCTTTTATTTACTATTTTTGTTGTAATATACTTTTGTAAGCAGAAATAATAGGTTGTTGTCTGAAAGCGGCCCTGGGCTACCTCCATATTAGATTTGTTTATTTAATTTATGTGTTGTAAATCTACCACAGTACCCAGGTTTCTCACTTATATTATTGGTCTACCTCACTTTACCATGAAATATATTGCATCCAGTTTATCCTTTCTATGTTGGCTCAATTATTCATTTATGTCATCTAATAGTATTGTATGCTCTCGTGCCTTTTTAAAATCATTACAACCTATCGCTCTACAAGTTGATAGGCAAATTAAGAAAAGGCTTCATGGTGGATGGCAACGAGCTGTCAAGCCTATAATCATGGATCAAGTGGCTATTCAGGAAATACTTATCACAAACCACAGATCTTTACCGAAGAAAGCTGATTACCTACAGTCACTGTTATCCAAAAATGTTTATCGGGATAGGGTGTAATAATGCTGGAGGAAACATGGCCTCATAACCAGCTTGATGACGATTTAGTCTGTCTAAACAGCTTCAAGTTATTCCGACGAGATCGATGCTTTTCCATGAAGAAGTGTGGTGAGTGTGTGGCAGCATTTATCAATACAAATTGATCCACCCTCAACTGTGTAGGCTTTAGCTGCTTCAAAGACTAAAAATTGTGTGCATTATCATTAAATGTTCTCCTAAAAATCGGAGTAAATACCTACATATATACATAACAAATATCTATGTCACACGTGACTGTAGTTTCTGATATTTATCAATGCTTGCTGACGAATCCACTGAATTTGCTGCTCTGGTTCTGGGTAACTCTGTCTACAGGCCGCAGAGATTTAAATTTTTGGGACTGCAGTTTCCTTGTATCATTGGATCATGAAAATGTGATCAACTTTTCGACTAGTCTTAATAACACACTGGATTTAGTTTTTACAAATGACTCTGGCATATATGAAGCCAGTAAATGAGCTCCGCTACTGAATTTCCACCACTGTTTTGCATGCATTTTGCCTAAAGTGCATGGCAAGTTATATAAGAAAGTTTTTAGATACCTTTCCAGGAAAGTCCAGTGCAGATTTTATTCACAGGAGGATCTTAGTTTTATATGTTATTCACCAAGTTAATGTAACGTCAGATTGTTCGAAATGTATAGCGCTAATATATCGCATGTTTCACAAAATCTCCTCATTACCTTGTTTAAATTTATCAAAGGAGTAGTTGTTTCAAGACTGGGATATATTTTATTTGATGAAGTTTTGGACAACATTATCACTAATATCACAAACTGTTTCAGATTCTGTCTAGACATATGCTCCCCTGCTGAAACAATCTTCATGAGATTTAGCATACTCTTCCTCTTCATCTCAAGAGACTCTGGAGAGAAAAGGAAAGGCTGTATGAGGTAAGAGATCATCCTGACGTTGTACGACCTAACTGCCTAATTAAGTCTGAAGTACAACGTCTAAATACTATGTACAACCAGAAGTTTCTATCGTGTCAGAACTGTTCAAATATATGGAAATTACTTGAAGAGCTTACTGGTGGAAAACAGATCGCAAAAAGAGCTTGTTCTGATGTCTTCATATTAAACAAGTCATTTATACGTCAGCCAGCTGATTTCATCCTTCCTGGTGTTCACAGACAAAGGGATAGCCGGTTTCCTGGTTTTAATACAAATAACGTATTTAAATGTCTTAAATTCTTGAATGAATCGCAAAGCCTAGGTCTTGACGGTGTTTCGAGTATTATATTTGAAAAATGTGCAGGTGTTTAATGTCATCCTCTTACAGATATCTTCAATGCATCGTTTTCTAAAAACACAATACCCGCTGCTTGGAAGGAGATCGAAATTGTATCTGTACCTATGTCACCTTTCGGATCAGATGTTAGGTTTCAACCCATTGCTGTAACTTCCCCTTTTATGAAGACAATGGAGAAATTACTTCTCCTTTTAATTGAGCCTTAATTGGTGGTTTTCAGAGATCTAAAACAGTTTTTAAAAACACAGGGGAAGTACTTTAGATGCTGCCACTGTTTTGCATCATAATATTGTTTCCAGTTTCGCCAAAGGTGTTAAGTATGTCAGTTGTGCCTTTTTGGATTACCTATCAGCTTTGAGTCTGTTTGCAGACCCTTGTTAAATTAGCTTACCATAGCTCATGGTGAACCATAAGTTACAAAGTGTTTGTATTCTTATTTTTCTGGAAGGAGACAGTATACTAGCTGTAGAGGGATACGCTCAACTCGATTGCTGAATGAAGCCGGTGTGCCTCAAGGTATAGTGTTTTTTGTTTCAATTCTCCTTTTTTTTCATGATTTACCTTATTCTGTTAAGACTAATTTTATTAGGTATGTTGCTGACCTATCTGTTTCTATTCCCCTTAACTCTTACTTAAATTGATCTGAATTAAACGGATTCTTGTCTGTAACTAACCAATGGTCTGTCTCAAACGGTCGCAGGCTAAACTGTTCTAAATGTCAGACTATTAATTTTAGTTTTAGGCATAAAGAAGATTTGTGTGAACTGATTAAGTCCCATGGCACCTGTTGCATTGATAGTATTCCTGAAAAAGGTAAACCAAGTGTTAACTGTTTCAGATTAAATTTTGCTTGTGATCTTTGTTGGTCGTCTCATATCTTGTTGACTTCTAAAGAAATCTTTCGTCTAATATGTCGCACAACAGAACTGCGGCTCTCTGGTATAACTTAACCTCTTCTGTTATAATTTATTGATTCTTGGATTTTACCTACTCTTCTTCATTTTCCCCCGTTGATCTTTCCTGGTCTACTGAAAAAGGACTACGTTATATTGCGTAGGATTTTGAAAACTGTCGGAATGGTAAGTGTTATGCCTCTGGCTCAACTGAATAACGCTGTAGTTGACAGATGTTTAATTTATGGTAGGAAACTAGCAACAATAATTTTAACTGACACAGAGCATCTACTTTATTCAGTTTTCTCTTTGTATCTCCCCCAGGGAGGACAAGAAGAAATTACATAAGACTGTGCGCTCGTGTAGCTAAATACAAAAATCTGACTATTCCTTATCTAGCGCTCATATTATGTGAGGGAAAAAGTGTAAAAACAGAATTCACTTGTCAACTTTTTAATGTCAAATAATCTTTCTTTTCAATATTTTAACTAACAGTGTTGAATATTACTGACTATTAATATCCTTTAAACAATTTAAATTGTTAGACTAACACTATTCGAAATGTTGTAAGGGGTATAATATATTATATATATATATATATATCATGCCGAGCAGTCGACTTATGATTATTATTTGTCCCTTGGGTTCCTATTGAAACATAGGGCTTCAGTAGCACGTCTCCATCCCACTCTTTTCTCTGCAGTCTTTTCAACCTGGCTCCACGACAGCCATGAAGCTCTCATTTCTTCTTCACACGATCTCCTCCATGTCACCCTTGGACGCCCAACTCGCTGTTCCCCATCTAGGTTCCACTCGAGGGTCTGATACATGATGTCCCCAATCGGTTTCCTCAGTGTATGTCTAATCTAGTCCATCTCCACTTTCTTCTGCATATTTGTTGGATGATGTGTTCTTGGTTTGGTTCGCTGCCAGAGTCTACATTCGACTGAGTTGGCCAAATTTACAACTGCTCGAATCATTGTTACTAACTAACTCACTAGACTCCAATAGTGACTGTCCATGAAGCCCAACTGAATGAATGGTTAAATATTTACGCACCATGTTTTTATTATAAAGGACTATTTTCTAAAAGTTGAAAACCTAATTTGTAAAGGGGAGATATAAACTATGCGATGTGCTTATGCACGGTTAAGTGAAGTGAGGAGTGGACCTAACCTCATGAAATACTACTTTAAAGACAGTTTAGGTGGTCATTAGGTTTTGAAATTTTGGTCTTTACAAAATGCACTAACATTTGAAAGAATTACTTAGATGTTGTATACAAGGATGGGGGTTAATGGGATTCAGCATTTACAATATATTGACATATTATATAGATAAACAGAAGTAGTGAGACCACTCATCTTTATTCGAATGTTACTTAGAAGTAAGCATGATGTGGTGGTAGGTGACAGAAGTTGTTTGGCCTATAAAACTACTAACAATATAACGTGTTCAACTAATGAACTGTTCACTCAGTTATTGCTGTGTTCCGTTTCGTCAGGCTCTGTTTTGGAATGGCCATCTTTTTATAGTTATTTTTTTTCTCACCTTTCTTCTTCTATACGCAGCAAATATTTAAGTCGGTAGGAAGGTAATATGTTGTAGTCAGGTGTAAATGTATATAATTAACAGTTACCTGGGTTTAAACTCGACAGTTATCATTTCCAAATATTGTCTACCATCATGTGATATGGAGTCCAGAAATCCTGAGGTTTTTGTTGTAGAGAATACGTCGTCACCATTATCTTGTTCATTAGATCCATTAGACTGATTACCTACAGAGTTTTATCGATTAGGAAAGGTGATTTATACAAAATCAGAATATTCATTATTGCACCGACTAATCGGAAAATAGATCAATTAAATTTTGTCAGTTTGTAACATGTGAACTTCATAAATCTTAGGCAAAACATTAGTGTAAACAATCTAGTCTTACATATAGATAGTTGAGAAATAGATAAATCTGTGCTTATGTATCTGAATGAAACTATTCTGAATCTCTAAGCATATGTCAGTCTTGTTGAAACTACCGGTACATACATCTTCCTGATGAGTGTCAACTAGCGTTCAACCTATGTCAACAGAATCAAACTGATATTAATATCAATAAAGTAACATAAAATACACTGCATTGGTATCATGTCATGTAGTCTAGTGGGTTTTTCGTGTATCTATAAATTATATACTGTTTTAAGCATACAGCGTTTTATTAAAATCAGTACAGAAGTTTATGAAGGCAAATCAAGTATTGTTAGGTAAATTTCTTAAAATGCTAAGAATCAATTTCTGGGTGATGTCGTTTAGAAACATACTGATGGATCGCCTTATTATCCATTACATCTCCATTAACTTGTTCACTTTAGGCCTATATTCTTTTTATTTCATTTAGTGATCACTTTTTTTCTGTTACTGCACACTATTTACGGCATTTAAAAGTGAGGCAGTTTGAACCGATGCACTTTAATGAGAGATTCTTCTTTACTACATCTTTCTGTCTTATTGATGACAAGATCGAAAAGATTAACATTCCTTTAGTTTCTTCCACTCATATTTTCTAAGTTTCGGTATTTTGTTTGAAAATTATATGGCTTCTTGTCTATCTGTAGTCGACAGTTATTCACAAATCTTCAGATATGTGAGTTATCCAGCGGTAACACATCTTTAAAACCCAGAGGGAATGTTATTCACTTAAGACGCAATTATCCATTGGTGGACAGATTTAATCAAAAATTCACTGATTTACTTGTCATTTTTTGTGTTGTGATGACTGACAGAGATCGTTGAAGAATTCATTGTATTGAAAATATCTTTCGGAACAATCCTTTATTCATTCGATAGTCTTCAGATTAACGATTATGACCGCTACTAGGTGAAAATACTAGTTAATAGAATCTGATTAGAACCTCAGTCCATATTGTTTTACGTAACCATAGTCCTGCTAGTAGAAATATTAAGGTAGTAGAAATGGGGGTTAATAACTTTGATCTTGATGGTCATATTGCAAGGCCGATTAAGCACAGCGCTTGACGACAGCATGAGTTACCATTTGGTAACCAATCCGTTTATGTAGTCAAGTTGTATAGTGGGTTTCTGAGAGCCTGGGTTGCTTACTAGAAAATTCATAAGTTCAGCGCTAAATGATGCCAGCAAATGTGAAGCTAAGATGTAAGGCTTTCTAATGACTCAGATTCAACATATATACTAACTTGAACCGGTTAAGTGCATTAGCAGTTTCTACTTCAAATCACTGTTTTCCAACAGACAAATTGTTCCATCACTGCAAATACATATTACTGACAGTTCATAGATCGAGACATATATTATCATCTAGTGTTTTCTAGTTTGTGCCAGTCAGAAGAGTTTTGATTGAAAATGTTTGACTAGTTCTTATGAAAGAATGCCATTTAAGTTTATTAACTTTTTTTGAGACAATCTTTTTGTGTTGAGAAATATAGAAATTCCAAGCATTTCAACAGAATGACATTAGTTACTGAGATCTATTTTCTCATATGATTAGCGGTATGATGATTTCCTTGTATTGTCAGGTGATTGCGTAGATGGAACATTGAGTGATCGATTAAAGCTGAAGCTAAATAAAAAAAATTTATCACACTTGAAGGCAGATAAAAATGCGAACACAGACAGATCTGGTGTAAATGTGTATCATTCCATCAACAATTCAACGAAATTACAATCAAATTGGAAGAGAAGTGAGGAATTTAAGCAGACACTATCAGTAATGATAAGAAACTAACAAACTGGCAAGAAAATTAAAAATATGCTGAATAGAAAAGTGTTCTTTAAGGCATGTGAGCCATTTGAGACGATTAGTGTAGATCACCTAAAGTTTCAGATCCGCATCGACGTTGAAAAATTTAAATAAACATTTCATACCGCGATGTTGGGAAAACAGAATATTAACCAAAAAGTGTTCTACATAGTAGGTAACCTATCAGGTCACTTAACCTCGTCTAGTTAACTAGTTTACTAGTTACTAGCCCATCCTAGGCCTGGATAAAGAGGAAGGTTGGACATACAGCTAGCAACCCTACCGCATAAAACCAATCCAATCGCTAAAGAAACTTCAAAGCACAAAAAATAAAAATAAACCTATTCCTCTCTGGAATCAGAGAGGAGAAAATACACCGGTTGGTGAAAGCCTCCAGGAAGCCAGTTGGCCGATTGTCTTTTCTCATGATAAATGCCAAACTGGGAGCGGACAACACTGGAAAAGAACACATCAGGGGTCAAGAAGTGCTCAATGAAATGAACGAGAATGGAGAACTGTTTGCAAAATTCTGCGCATTCAACAATTTGGTGATTGGAGGTAGGGTGTACAAACACAAAAATATTCACAAGGCAGTGATATGGATTTCACCAGGCACCAGACACACTAGAAATCAGATTGACTTCACTTCAATGTGAAGAGAGTGAAGACGCAGCCTACTGGACACAAGATCAAGAAGAGGAGCAGGCTGAGGTTGAGACCACTCACCATCTGGTGCGAGGAACCTACTTAAAAAATCAAGTTGAAAGACTTTAGAGTTGTTGGTGGTAGACCACAGTTCAAGTTCAACACCCAGATACTGAAGGACAAAACTACAAAGAAAATCTTCACATCAGCCATCAAGACAAAATGGAAGATATCGAGCAGCATCCCTGAAGAAACCTGTGTGGATAAGCACTGGAAGTCTTTGAAGGCGATGTGGAAGGAAACCTGCATAACCATATTAGGAAGGAAGAGGAAGGAAGATAAAGAATGGATCTCGATGGATACATGAAAGCTGATAGAGCAGGGAGAGGAGGATGGTGAAGCAGAAGACAAACCAGTACAAGGATGAATGACGAGTAGAGGAACTGAGTACAACGTATAAAACACTACACTAGACAAAGAAGTGAAGAAGAGTGGGTGGAAAGATAAAAGACACCCCACGACACTGGCAAGTGAAGCAGAACAGGCTACAGGCTGGTAGAAGAGGCCTGACAACATTGTATCAAATAACCAGGTTGCTATCTGGGAAGAGATCAACACAGATGGAACCAATAAAAGATGATGAAGGAAATTTAATTACCAAAGAGGGGAAACAAAGAAAACGATGAGCCGACCACTTCAGGAAGCTCTTAAATCGACCATCACCTGCAAGTCCTCCAGAAATACCACCAGCAGCCCGGCCACAGAACTACCAATGAACACAAGCCCAAGGACGGAAGCTGAAGTGAATTCCTGAACGCCATAAAGCTACTGAAATGCAGGAAAGCAGCAGGACCAGATGGAATCCCGCCAGCAGCATTGAAAACAGACGCAGAGACAACAGCCGACATGCTCACACCACTATTGCAGAAGATCTTAAAGAAGGAAAAGACACTTGGTGATTGGAAGAAGGGCTACCTTGTCAAACTCTCGAAGAAGGGCGACCTAAGTCTTTGTAAGAAGTGGCGCAGGATCATGCTCCTGTCCACCCCAAGCAAGCAAAATATTATGCCACATCATCCTGGAGAGACTAAAGGATGCACTGCATTCAGAACTACGACCAGAACAGGCTGGCTGGCTGTCTTCAGGAGGTACGAATCATGTGCGGACCAAATGCAACACTTCTCATCATCATAGAACAGAGTATAGAATGGCAGTCAACTCTCGACCTCAACTTCATCGATTTCGAAAAGGCCTTTGACAACGTCGACCGACAAGTAATTTGGCAGGCAGCTGCTTCAACATTACGGCATGCCACAAACCTTTATCATCTCACACAATAACTATATGAAGACGCCACATGCCGGCCAAGCAATCCAAAATGGGAAGCTCAGTGATGCTTTTGAAGTAAAGACAGGAGTGAAACAAGGGATACGCTGGACTGGGGAAAAGATCCTAGATGATTTGGATTTCGTCGATGACTGGTGTCTAATGTGGCACACGAACTTGAAGATCTATAGGCGAAAACCAACAAGTTGACAGAAGTGGCAGCGAAGACGGGACTTCAAGTGAATATAGAGAAGACATGGGTGATGAAGATACCCAACCAACAACAGCATCAACAACAAACACCAATAACCATTGACAGGAGAAACTTAATGGAAGTAGCCTCCATCTATCTAGGCAGCGCGCTTTCAACTACAGGCGGCACAGACGAGGACGTCAAAGCCAGCCAGGATCGGAAAAGCAAGACAGGCGTTCATTAACCTGAAATCAGTGTGGGATCTACTGCAACCAGCATAAAGAACAAGATCCGAATTTTCAACACCAACATCAAGTCTGTGCTTCTGTATGGTTCAGAAACGTGGCGCGTTACGAAAGGGATTTCCAACAAACTACAGACATTCATCAACAACTGCCGCCTACGCTGGCTCATTACTGAAGATCAGATAGCCAGAATAATAAAAATAAGCAACAAGGAACACCGGTTGGCAACGAACCAACCAAGAACTTATCACTCAACAAATATGCAGAAGGAAGTGTAGATGGATTGGACATGCACTGAGATCATTCGAGGACATCACGTACCAGACCCTCGAATGGAACCTAGATGGGAAACAGCGAGTTGGGCGTCCAAGGGTGACATGGAGGAGATCAGGTGATGAAGAAATGAGAGCTTCATGGCTGTCGTGGAGCCAGGTTGAAAAGACTGCAGAGAAGAGAGTGGAATGGAGACGTACTACTGAAGTCTTATGTTCCACTAGGAACCCAAGGGACAAATAATTGGAATATAATATAATAGGATAACCTTGAACTTAGTTTAAAAATTACATTAGTCCAACCTGCAACACACTGAAACAACACAGATAGAGAGATTCACTAAAGTAACTAAAAGTGACATGAAGGGAAGGAAGACGAACAAATAAAGATAGTTGATGAGATTAACCGAGCTGACCATGGTTTCATTGACTGAAATTATTGGTAAAGGTTTTCCAGTTGTGAAGTGTGGATATGTGTGCTTAATTGTGATCAGTTGTGAATCGTATTACTTACGATATGGTTGCGTTATTTACTAATACCTTGAGAAGTCTAACCAAATAGTCAACACTTTTATATACAACTGATATTTACAGTCAGCAAACACAGCATCACTTAAACAAGTGCACTGTACTTATACTGGAGTATCATGAAGAGATAATAAACAATTTGAACCAGCTTTTTTTATCTATTTATTTAATATGCCTGTGAGTTCTTTTTCATTATTAATTCCATACCTTACCATTTGGATAGTTAACTTTGCAAACTTCTGATGGTCTAAATGTTGATACTAATTCCATAGTTTCACATAAAGACAAGTTTGAAGATTAAAATTCAGTATATTTTGGATGATACTTAACTTAGACAGAAAGATATACCTTTTGACTGATGTGTAGAAGTTTTGTGTCACTTTAAAATTCCTTAATAACAAAATTCTTGTTCAGCAGTAAAGGCATCTAAGGTGGCTTTTATTTTGTTAATTTCCAGATACTTCTTATAATATTAGACAAATTCTTTGTTTCTCTCACAACCTCTTCTACACAGTTTTCCCTAAACTCATCTAGACTGCAGAGTACTTGAAATATATGCCCGATACAATTGGCTTGGTTAACTAATGGAGTTCGTTTGAATCATTGTAGCATAGAATAATTTAGCGAAAACTTTATAACAACCATACGTTTGATAGAAATGATCTTGAATAGCCTGCTGGATTTTAATTGGTCCTAAGTTCTGTCAAGGTTAAAATTCCTTCCACTAGTGTAGGTGGAAGATAAGTGTTACAAAAATTCAGAGATAGGGTTATTTCATTCCATTAGTCTACCTTATCATGTTCTGTTAACAAATTTTTTATCGATTAGTAGGAAAAAGCATACAATTTATCAATTTTCTTACATTTTTTCAATGACCAAAAGGTTGGAGTTTGCGTTGAATTTTTGATTTTGATTTCCATTTTTTTCACTCGTCCAATTAGAACAATACCAAAGTCTAATATATCGATAGGGTATATTTTAAATTCTGGTCTAATTAATGTAACTTGGGTCTGTAATTGGTAAATATCAGATGAATTATTGGATAATGGTTCATATGTATTGATTTGGAAGTGATCGTTAAAAACTTGAAATTGGAATAAAATTTCATTTTTTAAGACTAAACACGAATCATCAATCTAAATTCGAATAAAAGAAAACGACAATGAGGTTGTTTCGTTTAATTAGATATCACAAGGGTGCATTTCAAATATTGAATTCGTTAATTAAAACTTAGGGTGAACAAAATTATCCGAAATATTATATTTATCTAAGTTCTGTTTAAGTTAAAAATGTTTTTCTAAAATATCAACATTCTCAAACTGCTAGATGTTTGTAAGTTTTTAAAAGTTGAATAGCTCAAATTGTTAATAGAAATTCATATTCTATGGATTAAAGAGAGTTGTAGGACGCCTGATAGTGTCGTCACAAAATTTTCAACTTTGAAACTAACGGACATTGAATATATTTTCAGTTTTTTATTAAAGGACCTGAGCTTCAGTAGTATCATGCGAGCAGTGACTACCACTCTGAGAAATTTTTAAGCAACAGCTTTACTTGCCTTCTAGAAGATTCATAAATCGCTATGAACTTGAAGTTGAAACCATGCTCACGGACTCAGATAAGTAATAAATTAAGCGTAGAAAGCGTTTAAAGTGGTGAATAATAATATTATTTTCAGGATTCAGTTTTTTTCTTTAAATCATCATAATTTACAGCAATGTGTAGTTAAATATATTCAATGGGAGAGTGGATAAATTGGAAACCTCAAAAGATTTTCTAATCCAGTTGAAGGTTAAGTGAAGATATGCCACGGTTTAAAAAAAATTTGTTACACGCATGGACACCTACTGCTGAACGGTTGGAAAGATTTGATAGTAGTCCCTAGTTTTAATTTTCATGCCTTTCAGCTGTTGTTACCAAGTCATAGACGCAACGTTGGTGTTAATCATGTTTTTAAAGGTATTATAAATTGCATCGATCAACCTGACAGCCAGAGAATACTAGAGTTGTGAATGATGTCCTTAAGGATTGAGTTGAGTATAGGTAGGATCAACAACTTGACTGAAGTCAACATCCCAACTAAGCAGAATGTCAGTGGCGAAAAACTAATTGCGTGGTATCTCTCTAATACTTAGTTTCTACTTCAAGTAAATCATTGATCTTGTTGTAGGTGACTTTGAATCATTCTCAGCCTGAACAACATCAGCCATCCTGTTTACTCTGTTTATTCCGTCTTTCTCTTCTAATAACTCTACTTCTTCCATGATCCTTTTTATTTCTCGTATCTATTTAGCTATTGTCAGCAACCTGAATTTACTGAAACAACAGTTTTACTATCAAAATCTTTTTTGATAAACAACAAGTTCAATCGTCCACTGTATTCATACTGTAGTGAGCAGGATAGCAGTCATCATGAAGCAAAGGTACCTAAATATATGGTTTTAATATTTATTTATTTAATGTGCCTGTGAGTTCTGTTTCCCTATTAGTTGCATAGTTTACCATTTGGATAGTCAACTCTGAAAACTTCTGCTAATCTAGAACTTGATACCACATCCGATCACTACAATAAAGATAAAGTTGAAGGTCAGAATCCAGCATATTCTGGACGATGCTAAATTTAAATAAAAAGACACCTTTTGACGCATACAGGTGGTGCTTTGGAAGATACGTAAAAGAATGAAGTGTGAAATTAAGGAATCAAAGTTGCATTTCAGATGCACGTTAAAGTTAGGTCAGATTTTGATCTGATACTGAAACATACACTCCTAATAACTAACGTACGAATGTGACATGAATGTCAATGAGAAAGTAATACTGTCGAGGTATTTAAACCAATGAAAGTGACTACATTATCAAGTGCATCAGTGGTGATTTGAACTGAAAACACTTAACTAGATGTCTAATGTGTACGTGAGTCTTCAACGGAAATAAGAGTTAGTAAATTAGGAAGTAAATCAGTGCAGCATCTAAACAGTTTCACTGAAAGCATTATAAATTTACTGCTTGATTAAACATTATGCTAGCAAACAAAAAGATAGTACTGGTTCATGAAATGGAAAATATTAAGTACAGACTGACGCTGAATATCCTTTTTCTTGAATGTACTACCTATATCTACAGTATATCTATGGGATGTCAAAAATCACTACGAAAATACACAAGAAATATAAACAAAGATATAGTGGTTTGAGTTGAGGGATATTCATGTTACTGAACTACTTTCCTAAGAGGTTACCGAAAATTTAAAGTCAACTGACATTTTTACGGGTGAACCATAATTCTTGTTCAGTTACGACTTGTCAACTGGCTGTGAGTTTTTACATTTCTGCAACGGCAATATTGTACAATAACAGTTTTATTCATCTGGTAATTTTGCGTTTACTATTACTTTAAAAAGTAAATCATTTTTCACAGTAGAATGCCATCATAAATGAACCTTTTGATTCATCCAAAATCTAATGATGGTTAACATGAAGGTTTTTTATGGTGGTGTCTGTCAAGTTGCATTATTCACTTTTTAGTAATAATAAGCTAATCATATGAAACAATCCCCAAGTGTACTACAGCTTTTTCAGTTTCTAGTGTTTTGTGATATTCAATACAAGTGATAAACTTGAGCACTGTGATAGAGTACGATTCCGTACCAGATTTGTTTATCTGATTTGGCACGCAGTAGTATAACATTATTACATTTCCAGCATAAATTACCACTCATAATCATGTAAAAACAATCACATAGCTATCAATATCTCATTATTATGCTTCTACGTTTTTACTGACATTCACTCATTCAGTACATTACAAGATAGAAATAAGGGCCAAGCCATAGTAAGGCGGGCGAGTTTCACCACAAATTAAGACGATGACATAAGACATATTGTTTCGAAAAAACATCTCTTCGTATTAGGCTGTAATGTGCTGACTAATTACAAATTCGAATAGGTAAGTGATATATATATATATATATATATATATATATATGCAAGAGTGGACACTCTAGCCTTCAGATTTCACCCTTAAATGGTCACCCAGTTCCTCGACAGATAGGAAGAGCGGTAAGATAACAGAAGGCGTATTTCCACATCAGAACAGCCAGTTACATTTATTTACAGTAGCCCTGTCTATTTCTGGGTCTTTCCCGAATAACGTATCCTGTTAATTTTGCCTCTTCAACTAGTCTGACACATACATTTAGGTTCAAATGTCTATTCTGGAAACTTCGAAGCAACGCGATTGAAGGTTTTCAGGGATTTCGGGCTTCTTATGTGAATCTGGGAAGTTTTATAGCGAAATATAATATTAAGCTTGGGTACATTTACATGAAGTTTATCAGTTGGATAAATCTGCAGTTCAAATAGGAATATGTATACCTATGATGAAAAGAGTAAGAGAAACTGAGCCGTTGCTGAGGGTTTTTTGGATCGCAATCCCGAGGATTTCCAACTACTAATCATTTGAAATCTCATGGGAACTTATACTACTTAACAAATTTATAGCAACAGTTAGTAAGATCATGGATCACTGTCATATCATCGACTGATATTTCTAATCACTAATTACACACAAACCTACTTCAGTCAGTTATATGTACCAAGCGATTTACTTTATAAACAGTGAATAACTTGCCAACAGGTTAATCAACCACCAAACAAACTGACTATGCAACACCTAGTTACAAATAAAATGTATTTAAAATTGCACCATAGATTTTAAATTACGTTACTCAGCCTCTTCTATGAATTGTCATCGAAACATACTGACTGATAATATTCTAGTGGAGAGAAGTTTTGAAATTCGATAATATAAACCATCAGTTTTCGTTCCATTAATCTTATTTATTCACGCTGGTGTGAAAACGTAACGATCTGATGACTTTATTGTGTTAAAATAATACTTCCGGGTTGTTCTCACTTTAACTGAATCATTTCTAAGATAAGCGATAATATGTGCATGAAACTTGTGTTCGGTAATTGGAATTTAGTTCAGAATTATCTATACAGATGATCACAAGCAAACGTTGGTCAAAGTAATATGCTTTGTCGTAGTGTGACTCACATGATAAAAAGAGAAAACCATCTCAAATTGGTTTTCAGAACACCTTGATGTCAAGTACAAAAGTAATGAAAACCGAGGACTGATTAATATCTGTATGATTGCTATTTGGACTTTTCACCAAAGTACACACATAGCTGTATAAAGATTTAGACGTTTGGTCCTGTAGAAATAGAATGAACTTTCACACGCTGAATTTTAACATGACTGTCAATGTTTTGTGACTTTTGTGGGATCAGTCAAGTCAGAGGTAAGGATAGTGAAGTGACCGAATCAGTTTATGGATATAACTAAGTGACGATAGTGAATACGTGAATGTACTCAAAAGTACATGAATGGAAACAATTCCTCCCAAGACCTCATGTTTCACTGAGGCAAAGAAGGTTTATAGGATAAAGGCTGGCCTGTTACTGAAAGAATGACTGTTATAAGACACAAGTGCACCATGTATTTAATATTTCCACATACATAAAAATATGCTAGGGAAAATAAAAAAAACAGATTTTCCTGATTGTTTCATTGTAACAACAATCTGTTCATTACGGTTATTCTGACCATACAGCATAATAGATCAAATATGATACTCGTTAAAAGTATTCATCAGTGATCAACAGCTTAGAATTATGGTTTTTCTTACAACGTATCCGATGGATGTCCACCGACCACAACGTCAGTTTTCTATGATTCATCAAAAAGAGAAGTGTTAAACCATCGAATTTCAAAGCAGTGGCTGAATGGTAATATATCCATCAATAAACTTAATGTGGTGCCAGTGGTTCAAAATCGGTCAAAGTGGTGCAGGTGCATAAACTCTCTATCATTTTCGAAACCTCAGGTATTTTTATTAACCGTCCTTTGCTTGTCTACTCAACTTTCATGAACTTTTGTCTACCACGGTATAAATCTTTCTAATCATTTGTTCCTTGAATACTATTGAGAACTGTAGCAACTTCAACTGATATACTTCTGTGTTACGTTCTACGTTAATTTGTCCGATGGGATGGCGTATATGCTATACTTATGGTATAAAACTAGAATGAAACAGCTTTTCACTGCTATTTTGCGTTCATCATTTATCTAGTCAGTATAAATGAAGCCACCATGGAATAAATGTTTCTGATAGTGGTCTCAGATATTGCATGTTATTCAGTGTAATAAGTAATAAGAATAAACAACGCCAAATTGAAAATGATTGATGATACGACAGATTTATGTAAATTCAATTAATTTTGAGGTGAGGGTAAAGCCAGTTATGATACTGAATTAGCACCATAATCATTTACAATCACATAAGTGTAATCAGTATCAACACTTACAAAAGTACATAAATACTATGATAAATAAATATTATAAATACTGTAATAGGATGTGGAATTCTACGCATATATCACCATGCACCATTTCTTTACAAAATTAATTATAGATACAGCCTAAAAGGCATGGTTTAAATTCGTGTATGCAAAACTATCTGATTAATTGTGATTAACGATGACCCAAATTACGTGACCGTATTCATAAGTTATTAATATGATTTATGGGTATTTCTTTTGGTTACCCAGTTATTAAAATCTTATTCGGTCAAAATTTTATAATTTATTATTGGTAGTTGATGAGTTCAATAAAATTAGTTGATACTCAGTTACTATGTCGTTGACTCCAATGTCAGTTTAGCTTATTGAATAAACGATACAGTACATGAGCTATAGGCTTCAGATTATATAATTCTGTGTCTTATTAGTTGATTAAAGGAAGCCGACAGGAAGCCCTGGACCTAGGTTTTTCGCTTCTTGGCACTCGTCAGCAAGGCCTACCTGCTACCTAGACGGGACCGATGTTGCGTCTGAGATTCGAACCCGTGTCACTTAGCGTTGTAGCCAGCGACTTTATCACTGAGCTATTCGGGCCGCGACTGATCTCTTATAGGACTGGCTTACATGTATTGATTGGTCACGGGAGTGCAACTTATTTCATGTTGTCTAGTCCTGAGTGCAGTGTCTTATCTCTGGTAAAAAGTTCTAGAGAGTAGTTATATGTCCATTAACACATCCTACGAAAGTTCAAATCTCATTTTCTTTGGTGTATCTTTGAAGACTGAATTTATCTTCTAGAATATTAAAGTCACCAGTGACCATTGGCTAGTCACGAAAATAATTACGGTGAGGGGTAAATATTTGCACAGTTCTCGACAATTATTATTATATATACTATAGATGAGTCGTCTCTGTCGAAACAACGCAATGGAAAAACAGCCGTTTATACCTTAGAAACAACTAATTAGGATCTTTGCATGAAATTATATTACAAATTTCATCATTTGATATACATGTAGCCGATAAGCTATAAAACAGTTTGGAAGGTAACGAAAATTAAATACTGGATTTCTGTGGCATTTGTCATTCACTCAAGTCAGTATTATCCTGATAGTTTGCTACTGTACAATGGTTGGACACAGTGTCAACTGAAACGAATGGTTTTTACTTATGAAGAGGTAGATGAAAATATATTATACTTTCTAAATGTCCCGTAACTTTGAAGAATGATGGAAAACTGAGAAGTGCGTGCAAAAAAAATGATATCTATGGATCAGTCCATTCATTCCCTTAGCTCTATATCTATTCATTTTGAAACAATCTTAGTTAATTGGCATGCGAATAAGGTCAGAACCACCTTTTCAGGTTATTTAGTCTTATTGGGGCCAGAATACATTCGCAACAAGTTGATAGAAATCGGTTGTCCCCATCGTGTCATATAGAGATACAAGAATAAACTGAGTTAATCACCGGAAGCGTACTTAGTGAACTTACACACCAGGGGGTATCGTGAATCATCAGAGGTACTATATTGTTTTGCTACATTTGCTCACTATTTTTTAGCTGTCTGACTTCGTTTCCTCTGGGAGAAGATTAGCCACCCAATATACCACTTCCGTGGCCTTACAAATCCAGCTACTCCTATGGACAAAACTATACTGAAAAAACAACTAAACCATCAACCAAAGTGTTGTTGAGCACATTCCTATATGTCTACGAAAAGGGACAAGTGTTGTCGATACGAAGTGGAGTTTTTTTGTATTCCGTTGATAATGGTCATGCAACAGACAAGTTCAAAGAGTTAAAACTCATTTGTTTGAACTTTTGCTTGAGGTTTTCACTTGTCGTTTATGAATATTTAAACCCAGGGCAATTAGATTGAATAGATATAATCTTTATGTTCGAGGAAACTTTCATATAAACCTTTATCTTTCTCTTAGTCACCGTGAAGGTGACAAACCATTTTATTCATATAAATGTTTCAATCCTTCTCTTATCACTATTCACCATACTTATCACATTTGTTTAGACGTTGACTGTCCACTTACTTTGGTACTTCACAATTTTTATTTTTGGCAAACTTCTGACCTAAACTGGCTGTTAAAATGTCTGCACTGAGATACTATTTTCTCAGTTCTTATCACAATTAGTGCAAAGAGTAATAATGTTATCAAAATATATTATTAACCAGACAAATTATTGCTAGATGATACCGTTTCGTTGTTTATTCAAAATCGCATAACAACTAACGTGGTTTTAAATAATAATAATGATAATAATAGCAATAATACTACGGTTATTATTAAATAGGTAGTTACTAATTATAAATTTTATGACTTTGTCGTTAGAAAATTAGGAAAAAGTCACGGTCGTGAAACTCGATGTTTTATATACAAGGTTGTGTATATTGGAACAAAACTTAAGATCTACTCGCCTTTATGATGAATTGGCTGGGCTGCTTAATAATTATCAGTTTTACTGAGATAACCGTAGTTTAGCAGACTAGTGTTAATACTAGGTGATGAGTGAAGGCGAAATAGAAATTTGGGTCACGGGGATTCAAACCAGCGACTACCAGGTTTCCGGTCTGATGTTCTACTAGTTGAACTACGAGACCCAACTCCTGACGAGATTTTTGTTTCAACTCACTGATGAAAAGTTTTATTCATAGAAACAAGTGAAAAGTAAACGAATTCACTTACTTTTAAATTACCTTTCAAATCCTGTGAATTAACCTCAGAAAGACATGAATCTGTTTCCAACAGATAACCAATTGTAACCTATAATGGGCAGGTAGGAAAAACAGAAATTAGTTACTGGGAAAACGTTGATTGGGTGAGTTTACAAAATAACTACCAGTTACGAAATTGTAGTTCACTAGCTTGTAATGAACACTTTACTTAAGTGGTGGTTAAACGAAAGTCATCAGTTTATCATTTTGATATTCAGATGGCAGGATTCCATAAAAGTGGCTTAATGGTAGCGCGCTCGCCATGGAACCTGAAGGTCACGGGTTTGATCCTGGTGGGGTCGTGGGTGCTCACTGTTGAAGAGTCCCATACTAGAATGAAACAGCTGTCCAGTGCTCACACGTTTCCAGTGTTCATCCAACTGTCAGTCCATGACGAATACCAACATGAACATGGATTTATTTAGAGTTTACATAGAGTCACATGAGAATAAAACGAAACATTTTGGCACAATAGCTTACAATGTTATCAATGTAAAGTGAGAGTAAAGTTGAACAGTGTTTACTACATAACATAACATTCCGTTCTTTTTTATAACTTCTATGCATAACTAGAGAATTCAGGAGACATTATATTTCTGATCATTTATTAAAATCACTGCCTATGTGTGTTAGGTTAACAGACTGAACAATGTTGACGTTGGAAATTGCGTATGTGGTAAGCGATGCAAGTGAGTATATAACATTATGGACCTACTTCTGTTAGGAAGGTTGACATATTCATGTTGAGTTGTCATCCATCACATAAAGCTAGCCAGACTAGGAGAAGGATGAAGATGTCTTGTTGGGATTCATGAGATTTTGACAAACATTCAGAAAGAGTATGAACCTTATCATTACTGAGTTCATAGTGTTAATCGATTACAAAAGAACAACCGTTTCATTAAACATAGAATGTAAAATGTTATGAGTAACCAGTGTGAGTCAACATCACGATGGAGTCTTAGATATTGGGTGATGTTAGGTGAAACGCTTCACCCTGATTTATTTTCAATGTATTCTTAGTGGACTTACGTTCCTAATAATGTGTATTATTCACCCATTAGTGTTTATTCGGATACAACACTTGACGCTTATTCACCACTAATAGGTATTCCTTATTAGTACTGAGTAGTGAATATGTGTCTGAAAGCTATTGCATTGTTTATTTTTATACGTTATTACGCAATAAAGTTTCAGGTTTCAACTCAAAAAAACTACTTAGTTACTTTAAAATTCGTGTCTTTTTTAGGAAAAATGATAAGTGAATTCTTTGTCTATCAATCCTTAGTTGACACTATTAGAATATCTTGAGATAAGACTACAGAATCTGCTCCTAGAGTTTACTTTTTAAGAAAAATGAAAATATTTCTTTCAAGCCCCACCTTTGAATACTGAAGTAACTGAAGTACCTAATATTCTTTAAAATGGCTGTTATGTCTGACAAACTATTGCAGTACTTTGACTAATGGAACCATTTATAAAGTTCTCATTAGAGCAGGAATGAAACGGAATTTAAGTAATCAGTCAACTAAAGGAGTAGCAGATAATCGGCCCTTGCTTAAATGTTCGGATCAAGCCTACTTTCACATAGGTGCCAAGACTATTTAGACTGCCTCAAGTACATACATTAAGACCAATTCTTGATAAGCAAAATTCCTCATATCATGATGTACCAAAGCGGCTCGTATCCATTTTGAAATCGTTACATGAACAGACACTCAACTATAGTATGGAAGGCGCATGTAACTTCCTGTACAAAAGTAAACATGCTAACACCAACGATCAAACTATGATATCATGGGACGTAATGTCTTTACTTATAAATGTCCCACTTATGGAAACTGTCAACGACATATGTGTCCAGGTGTAGGAGTAAGCACTAAATGGTTGAATTCCAGGAAACATCCTTAAGCAATTATAGGTTGAACGTATCATACATATAAATTTCAAATCTAATGGAACTTCAACATGATACGCTTACCCTGGGTCTCATATTAGCGGATATTTTCCTGGTTAAAGTAGATAATGGTCATCAGAAAAAAATTATTTGAAACTTTGCATGTAATTGAAGATATATGGATTATACATTCATCTTTTGTGAAAACGGCTGGTATAAATCTGAGAAATTGATCAATTCATTGAAACACAGCCGTAAAATTTATACATAGGAGGAACTACATAATAAAATAACCTTTCTGGATGCTTTTCTTTCATGAGGACCTAGTGGGTCGCTGAAGAGGAACTTATAGTAGAAAAGTATATGAACGGGTCGATATACGCACTTCCTTAGTTTCTTTCGCCATCTAGCATGAACGAAGTCTAATAAAGACCCTAAGCTACAAAGTAAGACATATTTTCGGTGGATACAGTTGGAGATTTGAAAAACTTATACAACACACTGAAAATGGCTATAAAGATATGCCCATAAAAAAGCACACAACGACGAAAGTGAAAAAATATATATTAGCTGTGATTAAGAAACCGCCTTGCATGAAAATGCAATTTAGAGGGGAAGTAAACTTCAACATATTCATTCAAAAGCTTCAAAGATCTATCCCATGAAGTTTTAAAGCGGGAAAAATGCAGCCTGTGTTTTTTACATGGCTAGTTATGCTACCGAGGCTAAAAGATCAGACATGTAAGCTGGCTACTTCTTATTGTATTTATCACTTCAACTGCTCATGAGTAGCCAGTTATGATAGGTAATGTCTTAGGAATTTAAGGCTTTGTGGTTGCAAACAACTCCCGGCGCAGCTAAAAAAGGTTTTATGAAAAATGTGAACAAGTGAATATCAAACAGACCGTAAGAAATGTATGAATCAGTCATTTTCTGTCTTCTGCCCTGTCCTCATTAGTTTACTAAAGGCCACAAGATATAAAATACTTCAAATAGCAGAAGTTGTAGCCATTTGCACTATACAGCCTGAATTATGTGTTCGAAACTAACAGTTACAGCCATTACTACTATATTGACCACCTTTGGAATCTGCAACTTTCTGAGATAATTGATTTAGATCATTCAGTGTCATTTTATCACTTACACTACTGATTATTTTAAATTGTATTAACCGTTGACTGCAATATAAATCCTCGGAGTTGTTAACACTCATTTATCATCTCATTCAACAATATGGATATACAGCTGTAGAGCTTGAGGAATAAGTTATCAAAACGAGTATTCTTTGCTCATCAAACTATCTTTTAAAAGCCAGTCACTGATAGAATAATTCATTTCGATATTAAGAATTTTCATTGAAATATCTCAATCTCACTTGGCAGCAAAGTACTGAATTACATACTGAGATTTGACATCTATAAAATTCACAGAAATATAAGGCAAAATTCAAAATATTTAACAGATTACACATCCGAGACTCCGTCGCTTGCATTATTTTTTTGATTGCATTCATACTTGAATAACTTTATTCCTTCATCTTCGTTAAAATGAAAAGTATGTTTTCAAAAAAAGTTCAAACCACTCACTCTTGTTGCTTTTTACTTTCAGATACTACACGTTGGTTCTACGGTGAACTGAATGTCCCAAGATGTACTCATTTCTAGATTGGCTTTATTAATGACAGATAGCAAGTTGATGATATTACTTTTTAAGCATAAAGTATTCTTGTTCAATGAAAATATTCAATGAGACGGTTTTCATATACGGCGTTTTGCTTTCATAAACCCCATACATTAAGCAAGTCTCAATAATGATAAATAGGGCCTGAAGATATTGTCTCTTTTGAGATGAGATGTTATATACTTCATCGATAAGAGCTATAAATGGCTTTTGTTATTCTGGTAAGATTCCTAAAATCATTGAAGCATATAACACTTCTATGTTCTCAGGATCAGTGACACTTCATTCAGTAGGTGGTCAATTTGAGCAGTAAATTTAAAAAATGACTGGAGTAATAAGCAGAGTCGTAGATGAAACATGGTTCGCATATTAGAGGTTGAAAGAAACTGTACTATTCATGTTGCGTTTTACTTAATTTTTCTGTAAATTTGCGTCATGACAACCTTTTTTTATATCATTTGTGTCTTTCTTCTTTTTTCCAAGCTCATTGGTCTTCTGTCTGAACTACTCTAACTATCTTGTTGAATAAGTAGCATCCAGGAAACGTTTATGTTCACCTTCATAGTGTTTTTCAGTATGTTTACAGACCTTCGATCATATTATGTTAAAATTTCACCAATATATATCATCTGGTATATTTTATCACTCACATTTAGTTTCAAAGAGTTATCATGGATCAACATCATAGAGAGAGCCATTGAAAAATAAGAACTCTTTAGAAGTACGGATTTAGGATCACACGTAAGCACGAAGGCAATACCCATAGATATTAAGACAAGTACCTTACTACTAGGTTGAAATCTCATGCTTTTTGTTTTATGATGCTTTCAAGCCGCAACATAGCACGACCATCTCTCAGTGTTGTAATTTAGTGGCTATCTTCCCACTCAAATATTTTGATTTGACTGATAGTGGTTTCTTAATTGTATATTTTAAAGCAAGCCATTAATGAGCACTGAGTTGTATCTCAGTTAATGGGTTTACGCAAAAGGAATTCATATCGAAGTGTTCGTAATGGATTAACATCAGCTAGTTCAAACTTAATTTAACTGTGAAATTGTACTAAATGCAGTTCAATCGAAAACTTTTTTCGAAACTCACCTTCCTTAATTTACCTGGATAGAGTGTCAAATTAATTTCTGATTCATAAAACTGTTCAAAATCTTTCTTTGACATTCTCATTGTCCTTGTTGAACGATTATCTTCCATGGCATTGGAAATAGCACGGTTATCACTGTTACCACCACAATTATCTTTACTCATAGAAACCTTTCCTTTGATAAATCTATTATATTCTGAAATCTGATAGACTGTGGTTGTTTGGCTTTTAAACAAATGGAGATTGGGACGCTATTTGTACACTTCAAGAAAATTTCACGCAAGAGAACTAAATTATCTATGAGTAGACAAGTGGATGCGTGAGTAGATGGAATCAGAAGTTGTTGTGATTGTTGCTGTTGGTTGTGATAACGGTTACCTTGTTGCAGCGTAGTGTGGGGAGCAGGATATTTGGTGTCTAGACTAGAATTATCTAGTGCTCTTGTATTTGACCAGAATTCAGTTAGCAGTCTCCCAGACCAGAATGAAAGTACAAAACCTGTTCTTCCAAGAATGGAACAGGAAGACACATTTTATCAACTTCTAAATGATCGTCATTCAAATCAATCATTAGTCTGTCGCAGAATAGTGAAACAGAAGAAATGTGGGGAAAAAGACAAAAAATAGAGATGCATTAAAATACACAGGATAAACTTGTGATTGCAAAATGTTCCTCGTGAATTAAACTTAGAGAAACACTGTTACTAATTGATAGCATGAAATATTTGGTTTGAACTTAGTAAGTTAATGGTAATGAGACTTGATTGGTATGAGTGGACACTGCTGGCGATTCCTAAACTGGAACGATAAAGATGTTCATTGCTTTCTACTTTTTATGGTTCTCTGACTCATATCGATCTGCGATGAATAGTTTGAGTTGGTAAATATACTTACTCAAAACCTGAAATTAATGTGTTTCAAAGACTGCCTTATAGAATGAGAACTACAAATTGTGCTTTGTCAATGAGCATATAATGTACTCTATGAATCTTGATCAAATATTTTCTTTACCGGCATGTAGGAAGTTTGGGGTTAGAATACCTTAACGGATACATTTCTAAAATCAAAGTCTGAATGTCCTAAATTAACAATTACTTGTATTTAATAGATGCTATTTCAAGCCTACCAAATGTTTAAAGGGTTTCAGACGTCATCTCCTATATTTTAGCCTGAAATTAACAAAGAATTTTGCGAAGCATGTCTTGCAAAACTGCAGGATAAAAAGCTTGTACAATTATAAGATAGATTGGCTTTTGATATTTATTGTGTTCACCTAAGTAGTTCAGTTTCTAAAAAGACTTTTCTTACACTCTCGGTGTTTTTAGCCTACAGAATTCCAGTGATTGTAAAGTTGATTAACAAAAGTGTAGTTAGATGATAAGAAGTAATGAAGTATTTGCCAAGAAAAATGGAATATTTTACTTCATTTTTCTCCGTACACGATATAGTTTTACTTCTTAAACTAAAAAAGTATATAAGCATAAGCTTCTAATAACGTTATTCTTAGATAAAAGCAAATTCATTTTTAAGAAAAATATAACTAGCACTATAGGAATATGCAGTAATCCGGACTGTGATATGTAATGCTTTTAAAGGAATTGTGTGAACTGAAATTGAAATGCAAGCGAAAAATGAGTGACCATAAGCATTTTATCTTCTCGTTGGAAATGTCCTGATAGACATAAATTCCTCACTTATTATTTTTCCTAGCCACATAAATGTGTGGCACTGATACATAGTAAGCTTTGCTTTTCAATTGTATGGCTGCTATTACTTAGCGGATTTGATTATGAGCTTTACCATTTTCTTACGGAAAGCTAAATCAGTTTTCTTAATATGTAATCAGCTAAATATCGATTACATGTTAAGGATGAAGATATATTTATCTTGCGTGTAAACGCGGGTTAATACTGACACGATATCATAGGTGTGTGAACTAAATTTATGAGAAATAAGTGCGAACAGCATTTCGTTGGATTTAGATAGCAGGCAACAAAATGATAATGTGATTTCAATTATGCAGAAGGAATATAAGAATGCGAAATAGTAGAAAAGATTAGTATATTCGTCTCGGTGACTATCAGTGGAATCCAGGAAGAGCGCTTCTTCCTAGCTGAGACTTGTCAGCTGGATATATCTGGACCTTAGTTAGTGACCTTGTTCCCAGTATCCATCACTTCAGAGGGTAATCCACTGGGGCACGACAGCCAATAATTGCACAACGAGTATCCGTTATTTCTGTTTTGATACTTGTCGTTTCCCGTCGAACAATTCAGCTCTGAATAACAAATGGAAACTTCAAGTATCAAAACAACGAAAAGATTATCAGTTCAGGATGGAGATGATAGTTATTTAGTGTTCCTGAGTTCTGATATTTTGTCGCTGACGTTTCTTCACTAGACTTGGTGAAATCCTCAGTACTAAATGTTTTGTGAACGAATGGGTCTGTCAAGCAAAACTGGTGTAGGACAGTCATTGACTGATGACACCACATGATAGTTTTGGTACACGTGGAATTCATAAAGGCTTAGATATGTGGGACATTAGAGCTCAACACAGTGACTGAATCTTGGCTTACTAACCACTGACCTAGCATTGTCATCTTTGGTATCAACCTTGGATACTACTGAGGAGTCTTAAACGGTGACAAAGTGGCTATCCAGTTGTTCTTTATTGTAAAAGTTCTTAAGCTAATTTTATCCGTGATTAAAACAGCATTGGACTGTTATTTAGATGTTTATTCTACACACAAAAGTACTTGTTACTATAAAATTAGGTTAGTTGCAGGTCATGAATGGAACATGACAAGATTGCGACAAAATTGTCTAAAATATTAACTATGAAATAATAATCTAGGCACTCAAGGTCACGGGGTAGTTTTTAGGTTTATCTTGTGTAAAATAAAATGTTAATCTTTACTATATTCAACATTGGATATGAGTGACTTCATTTCACGTAAATGACATATTCAGAAGTTTTATCGAAATCATTTTAAAACACGCTGTCCAATTTTTATTCTAAAACATAAACGCTCATCTTATCTGGAAAGTATGCAAAGAAGCTTAATTGCTTTGCGTAGAACTGATCATCAGAGTGACTGTAATAATAATTAGTATTTTAACTGAGTAGTGGATAATGGTAAGCATCATATAATCAATGGTGTTATAGCTGGGAGATCTTATTAGTTTTATGATAAGTCCAAGCTTATGTATGAAAGTATTTGTTATTTTACCAAGGTCAATAAATAAAGCAACTGCACTTTGTAAGCTTATAAATTTGGTGCACCTTTTTCTATCGATTTCGTAAAGATAGAGAGATATGTTCAACCATGGAAATAAGTATTACCTGTGTAAAGGTTAAAACTGAGTACAGGAAAGTATACTTTATTTTCATACACTGGTGAACCAGAATCAACAAGATGCATAAGTTTAGTTTTAGATGGAAGTTTGCATCATTAATTCTTGAAATTTCAATAGTGGATATCATTCATTTGGAGATAAACATCCCTCAAACAGTATTGTAACGTTGTCTAGTTAATCTTATAGCACCAGAATGTCACTGTGCACTGAATAAATGATACATTTATTCACATACATGAATAATTTGTACTGTAATCTATAAGCTGACAGTTAGTCTACCTTGATCCCTTACTATGTATTACAATCAGGTTTTTAACTTCATACTTATAAGGTACGAAAACAAATTCAAAGTCTTTGACTTTTCTTGCTTATTAGATATCATCACATTTATTTCTAGGAAAAATATCGGCCAAACAGCTTGTGTAGTCTTAAGAAATATGATATCATATTTATTTCAAAGAAATACGAAATGCTTTTGTAAAAAGGATCCACTAAGACCATAAACTATTTTTTTAAACATAAAAATGCATAGGTAATAAAAGAGTAATAGAGTACGTGATAATGTTGATCATGCATATTATGAAATTAGTCTTGAATAATTTCCCTTCAAATGCAATAGCGTTCAACTTATAACAGTCAAGATAAGATCACGCTCATTTTAGCTTCTATGGAAGCTTACTTGAACATCTGAGAACTACAAATATGTTCTAGGATTCAATAGAAATGAGCTATCTTCCTTTTAGTTACATCGACCCGATTAAGACAACTTGGCTTGTGTAAACAAAATCTTAAAATGCAAAAAACATTGATACAGACATCAGAACTAGTTGCATTTGTGGCTTTATTTAGTGTTGAATTAGTTTTATCTGCCTCATTTGTTGAAGGGTGATGAGCTGTTTGAATTAGAAAACGGTATTTTGAAAGTGGAAACCATATAACAATTACCTTGGTTGCTCTAATTTAGCAGTTATATCAAATCGTAGTTGTTCTGTGGTCAATGCATTTGTACGTGGGATATCTAGAAATTCTTTTGAATCTATACTCAAATAACCAATGATATGAGCTTTCAAATCAAACATTGAGTAACATTTCATTGTTGAGTATGCTTCCATTGGATTCATTATGATAGTAGCTGTACATTCTTCATGTGATGGTATTATCAGTTGTTCAGGAGATACAGTGAAGAGTCTTGTATAGTTTTCTTTAATTAAAGGACATATTTGTGCTGAGGATGACTGCCATATCAACTTCCCATCGTACGGTCGAAGTACTAAATTGATTAGTGGCTTTGTTGTGATATCCTCCTTCAAGTCTAAATGCAAGTGAAACAAAACAGTAAATTGAAAGTTTTCAAAGTTGGATTACGATTTACGATGTTATGCAAATCTTCATAACATTACAGAATTATTTTGACGAGAAAACTACAGTTATTAACTCAAACAAAATAGATGAATTATGCGCAGTTTCAAATCTATGGAAAACATCTTACAATTTATCTCTGATTCATTTTTGACCTATTGGTCTGATTGCGTTGATGAGGTTTTGCTATAGCTGGAATTGACATAGGTAAGAAATTGTGAATCACTGGATTATGCCCTAGTGACTCAATGGGAAGATCCTGGCCTCGAAACCTTGAGGTCATAAGTTTGATCCCGGTAGAAATCGTGGATGAGCACTGCGAAGAACAGCCATACTAAGACGAAACGACTGTCTGGTGCTCCCAGGTTTTCAATGTTTCTCCAACTGACCCCAGTCCATGATGAAGACCAAGTTGAAACAATTTTTTTACGTAGTTGCTTAGTTGTACTGAGAAGAGTGTACTATTTTAGAGCACTTCAAACACATTTTTGTTGCTACAATAACTGACATATGAACTTAGGTTTGATGTCACACCAGTATAGGATGTCGAGATAATTAGTCACTGATTAGAAGATATCACTTAAGATACCACTCTTAAGTTTTACAAATGCACTTATTTGATCTTAATTCATACATTTAATAATGGTAATTCTAAAATATTTTATCTTCCTAGACGCACTTCGAATTGAAAGAGGAGCCGCATCAATTGTTCATCCTCTGCCTACGCACTCCAACCTTTTTCAATATTCCTTCTACATTTCTCTTAGATTAATTTTTGTGAACAGATTTTCGAAACCATGCTACGGGTTTGTAACGACTGGATCTCTGCCTACTGGTTTCAATTGTAAAGTTAGATGTAGGCTTCTGTGTTGAAATCTATCAGATAAACACAGATGAAAAATGTAGACGTATGATGATACTAAGTGTAATCAACTGCGGTAGTTCTGACTCACCTATACCTTATTTTTAAGTCCTTGAAATCTCAGTTTATTGATTTCCCATCGTCAAATCGTGCAAACAATGTAATACTAAGTGATCCATAAACTTTACAAGTCTTTCTTAACCTTTAAAGTGGTTTAGTAAGCTTCTTACTCGCTTTACTTTTAATTTGTAGCATGTAATAAAAGAAATAACCTCTCCTGGTTAACTAGTTCACTAGTTACTAGCCGGTCCTAAGCCCGGGTAAAGAGGGAAGGTTGGGCATAGGTCTAGCAACCCTACCCCGTAAAACAAATCTAACCGCTAAAGAAACTTCAAAGCACAAACGATATATAAAAAATAAAAACAAACTTATTCCTAGCTGGAATCGGAGAGGCGAAATGACGCCAGTTGGTGAAAGCCTCCAGGAAGCCAATTGGCCGATGTGTCTTCTCTCGATGAAAGCGAAAGTAAACGTGGGGACATGGAATGTCCGTACGATGTTTGAACCCAGTAAGGCAGCCCAGATTGCAAAAGAGATGAGAAGCTATAACATCGAATTGCTTGGGATTTGCGAAAGCAGATGGAATGGAAGTCGACTCTCGAAACTGTCAAGTGAAGAATCAATAATCTACTCCGGTCACCCAGACGACAACCATGAGCATACTGGATTTTGGAGTGGCTATCATGATGTCCCCAACAGCATTGAAGGCTTTCTCTCATGCAGTGGGAACCAATCTCCTCCAGGATCATGACAGCGAGGTTCAACTCAAAAGGAAGGAAAGTCACAATCATACAATGCTACACTATGCACCTACAAATAATGCAGATGAAGAGAAAAAGGAGGAATTCTACAGACAACTGCAATCAACACTGGACAAGACGCCAGTTGGCGATATCAAAATTCTAATGGGTGACATGAATGCCAAACTGGGTGGGGACAACACAGGAACAGAACTAACCATGGGTCGAGAAGCACTCGGTGAGGTGATGAACGAGAATGGAGAATTGTTTGCAGAATTCTGCGCATTCAACGATTTGGTAATTGGAGGCAGTGTGTTCAGGCACAAAGATATCCACAAAGCGACATGGATTTAACCAAATGGACACACTGAAAATCAAATCGACTTTATCCCAATCTCAAGAAAATGGAGACGCAGTCTACTTGACACAAGGTGAAGAAGAGGAGCAGATGTAGGTTCAGACCACTCACTATCTAGTGCAAGGAACCTTCCAAATCAAGTTAAAAGCCCTCAAGGAAGCTGGTGATAGACCTCAATTCAAGTACAACACTCGGAAACTGAAGGATGAAATTACGAAGGTGATCTTCAAGGCAGCCATCAAGACAAAATGGGAGACATCGAAGATCATCCCTGAAGAAACCTGTGTGGAAGAACACTGGAAGTCTTTGAAAGCTATGTGGAAAGAAACCTGCACAACAGTATTAGGAAGGAAGAAGAAAGAAGATAAGAAATGGATCTCAATGGATACATGGAAGCTGGTAGAGCAGAGAGAGGAGGATGGTGAAGCAGAAGATAAACCAGTGCAAAGATACTCAACGACAAGAGAAACTGAGTACAATGTACAAAACACTGGACAAAGAAGTGAAGAAGAGTGCACGCAAAGACAAAAGACACTTCTACGAAACACTGGTAAGTGAAGCAGAACAGGCTTCAGGTAAGAGAGACCCGACGACATTGTATCAAACAACCAGGTTGCTATCTGGGAATAGATCAACGCAGACGAAGCCAATAAGAAAATTTACGAAAATTACGAAAAAAGAGAAACAGAGGAAACGATGGGCCGACCACTTCAAGAAGCTCTTGAATCGACCACCACCTACACTTCGTCCAGAAATACCACCTACAGCCCAGCCACAGGACTACAAGTGAACACAAATCCTCCAACAAAAATGGAAGTCCTGAACGCCATAAAGCTACTGAAATGCGGGAAAGCAGCAGGACCAGACGGGATCCCGCCAGAAGCACTGAGAACAGACGCAGAGACAACAGCAGACATGCTCACACCACATCACTATTGCAGAAGGTGTGGAGGGAAGAGAAGGTACCTGGCGATTGGAAGAAGGGTTACCTCGTCAAACTGCCGAAGAAGGGAGACCTCAGTGTTTGCAAGAACTGGCAAGGAATCACTCTCCTATCCACCCCAAGCAAAATATTAAGCAGTATCATCCTGGAGAGGCTAAAGGATGCACTGGATCCAAAACTACGACCGGAACAGGCAGGCTTCAGGAAGTACAAATCATGTGCGGACCAAATTGCAACGCTTCGCATCATCATAGAACAGAGTATAGAATGGCAGTCAACTCTCTACCTCAACTTTATCGACTTTGAGAAGGCCTTTGACAGCGTCGACCGAGAGGTAATTTGGAAGCTGCTTCAATACTATGGAATACTACAAACCTTTATCAGCCTCATTCAACAACTATATGAAGATGCCACATGCCGGCCAAGTAATTCACAATGGGAAGCTCAGTGATGCTTTTGAAGTGAAGACAGGAGTGAAACAAGGTTGCCTACTATCTCCCATGATATTCCTGATTGTGGTCGACTAGACTGGATCATGCAGCAAACAGTGGGGGGCGAGAAGAGGGGGATACGCTGGACGACGGAAAAGAACCTAGAAGACTTGGATTTCACCGATGACTTGTATCTGATGTCACACAAACTTGAAGATCTACAGGCAAAAACTAACAAGTTGGCAGAAGAGGCAGCGAAGACGGGACTTCAAGTGAATATAGAGAAGACAGAGGTGATGAAGATACCGCACCACCACCATCAACAACAACAACAAACTCCAATCACCATCAACGGGAGAAACTTAAAGGAAGTAACCTCCTTCACTTATCTAGGAAGCACTATTTCAACTACAGGCGGGAGAGACGAGGATGTCAAAGCCAGAATCGGAAAAGCAAGACAGGCATTCATTAGCCTGAAACCAGTGTGGAGATCTTCTGCACTCAGCATGTGGAACAAGATACGGATTTTCAACACCAACGTCAAGTCAGTGCTCTTGTATGGTTCAGAGACTTGGCGCGTCACGAAAGGGATTTCCAATAAACTACAGACATTCATCAACAACTGCTTACGCTGGCTCGCTACTGAAGATCAGATGGCCAGAATAGTGAGAATAAGCAACAAGGAGCTCTGAGAACGAACCAACCAAGAACCTATCACTCAACAAATATGCAGGAAGAAGTGCAGATGGATTGGACATGCAGTGAGAAGGCCGACTGAGGACATCACGCGTCAGGCCAGTCGCTCGAGTGGAATCCCCATGGGAAGCGACGAGTTGGACATCCGAAGGTGACATGGAGGAGGTCATATGAGGAGGAAATGAGAGCTTGTGGGCTGTCGTGGAACCAGGTTCAAAAGATCTCAGAGAACAGAGGTCACTGGAGGCGTGCTACTGAAGCCGTATGTTCCACTAGGAACCCAAGGGACTAATAATAATAATAATAAAAGAAATATTTTCTAGATTGTCATCTTTTAAGAACGTAACTGCATGAAAAAAGTGAAGCTTTCCAGAGGCAAAAGCATGTCAGCTGCAAAAGATATTTCCTAGGTTAAGAAAGAAAATGTTGTTCAGTGTTAGTAGTCTAGGTTCTACCCGGTTAAATACCTTATGTCTTCACTGCAAGGTGAGTGATACAATGGGTTGGAAAATATACTCATCTCTTACTGGTTCACTTGCGTTGCTTCAGTTACAATAAATGCTATTTAGCAAATTACAAGATGAATAGAAAGGTAGAATATTTTATAAACGAAATTTTAATACGTTTCAGACTGAAAGTCAGTAATACATTAGATAAGTCTGTAATATCTTAAAAGATGACATTTCGAAATCTAGTCAAGAATACACTGATTGATCATTAAAGAGTCATTAATTTTATGTTTTCTGGTCTCGAGGGATAAACCATTTCTGTCCACTATTTTGAAACGTGGCAACCACGTTAAAGGTTCCGGATCTTGGTAGGCTTTAATAGACGATAGTTGGTTGGAGATAATCGGTATGAAG